GGAACAATCTCCAAAACAGCATCCAGGGAATATGCAACCAATTCAAATGAAAGCTGAAAACCCTCATTTTTGACAGTGATTTTGCATCTGAGCAATTTATTGGAACAGTGCCATAAACACATTAACTTTATTATTATTATTAAAAAAGGAGGAGCCAAACAATTTTTCTATCCCCACTATCCATTATATCCTTAACATCAAGCTTGTCCAGTGTATTTAGTTTCAGCAGAGACCATATAATATTATATGGTCTCTGGTTTCAGTAAAATCCGAAAATAAACTATTTTGCCAGCTATTTTGGCCAACAACAGAGGTCATTTAGTATATGGTTTGGCAATTACAGTTGACATTTAAATATCTGCGTATTGGGAATCAAAACCCACACTGTCGTTTTGTACATTAAATTAAACAATGACATTAACAAACAAGGAATTTTCAGAGGGGAAACTGTTTCCAGAGAGAAAGTCTGAGAGAATTTAGAAGCATGGTTAATTGAAGGTAAAAACTCCACTAAAATGCAACACATCTTGAGCCCCACATCTAACTATACTTGCTACAAATGACATCACATTGTGAAACGTGAAGGCTAAATAAAGCGTAAGTAGGCGTTTCAGTATGGCTGTGATGGCCAACAGCCTTCGAAGTGGACATGTCGAGAAGTGGCAGTAGAGTTCAAGAGGGTGAAAGGGAAACGTATTCCAGTGAAGCCTAAGTATGTTCCATTTGCTGCCAGTGTTACATCTGGGATTCCAGTATTTTAAAATTTGGAAACAGTAAGGCGCCCAAATTTGAAGTGTCAAATTTGAGGTATGAATTGGACTACAAACGTCCCATCAACAGGTCGGTACAGAAATAGACAAGGCCAGGGAGGCCAAGGGAGACAAGTCCAGGGAGGCCAAGGGAGACAAGTCCGCATTATAACACAAGACAAGTCCGCATTATAACACAAGACAAGTCCGCATTATAACACAACCTTAACGCATATGGTGTTGAGAAATCATTCTCAGGCGCAACTGGAATACTAGACTAAGAACATCTGCATTGGGGCTACACATGCTGGGGTCATTACCAATTAGAAGTCACATTATACAACCATCAGATAACGGTATAAGCGACAGGCATATTTATTGGCCCTGTCCTATCTCCATGCTGTCATCACCTCATGTGGGCCGGTCAAGTGCCCCTACTGCCTAACATTTTACTGTTGGGAAACTTGCAGCCCACACTGTCACTTGGACACTAGATGACCAAGGTGCAAGATCTGTCTGGAACACCAACAAAATCCATTTGTATAAAATGCGAAGAGGATATAGACAACCACCTTTTTTTAAACAAACTGTTCAATGGAAGTGAAAAGGGCAGCATCTGTCTTACGCTTGAAGATGTTCTGGGTACTTCTAGATACTAGATCATCCTCAGTAGATTTCACCTTGCATGCCTCAATCACATCACGAAGGTAAACAGATTTAATTCCGAGATGCTGTGCCTTTTGAATTTGGTTCTTCACGAGAAGGCGACTAACAGGGTCGGGTGGTCAGGCTTGCTGACTTGGTTGACACATGTCATCGTATCCCAATTGTGTAGATGCTCATGCTGTTGACCACTGGATTGTCTGGTCCAGACTCGACTTATTTACAGACCGCCGCCATATATTGAATATTGCTGAATGCGGTGTAAACCCAAACTCACTCACTCACTCATTCTTCATGAGTGCTAGGTCCCTGCCATATGTTTTACTGTTGAGCAATTAGATAAAAAGAGATACTCAAAACAAACCAGAGTTTCACACAATAATCCTATATCAGGAATAAGAACAATAACCCTTGTTTTAATTACAATTAAATCCTTAACCGCATTAACAATTGGGATGCTATGTGTGGACCCAAGTCAGACAATGAAACAATACTTTTTACAACATAACATTCAGGAGGAACCTTTCCCCAAGATTTTGCTTGATTTGTCTCTTAAAGACCAGAAACTGTGCACAAGGCCTCCACTATAGCTTCATGTCACCCAATGTGCTTGTTAATTAAGAGCTGACAGATGAAAATGTGAGGCAAGATTCCAGACCACTGGTGAGGATGTTGGTCCGGCCAGCCATGGCAGTTAGATATGTTTACTTTGTAATCCGACCCCCAAAGTGAGTTAGTTTTCTTGCAGATGTTAACAGACCCTGAACCTGAGGAAATCTAGACTTGCTTTATTTAGGGCTTTAGCACTGCAGAGAGGGCTTGGCAGTAGGGAAATTAATGTGGTTCAGGGACTGTGAGACAGACTACTGGAATACAGGAATCTGTCACTAAGCTAATCCCACGAGAAGTCTGTTCACGAGCATGGCGGGCCACCCCACCTTCCAGTGCTGTCCTGGGGCGGTGGGTGTAGCCTATTGGTTAAAACGTTCGCTCGTCACCGCAAAGACCCGGGTTCGATTCCCCACATGGGTACAATGTATGAAGCCCATTTCTGGTGTCCCCCGCCGCGAAATGCTGGAATATTGCTAAAAGCGGCGTAAAACCAAACTCACTCACTCACTCCAGGGCTGTCCGCTAAACATCGCCAGAAGCATGTTGCGTTTGACGTAACCGTCACCATCGGTCTGGCATTATCTGCACACGCATCAATTAATCCACCTTTTTGGTACAAGCCCTGATGCAGCACCTCTTTGAAGTCCTCACAAACCTTAACAATCCTCACAATGTCATCCTATGTAAACCCACACCCAGATCTACAACCTCCAAACCTGAATCAGCGCCTTCTACATCGTCTTCCCCTTCATAGGAAAAGCTTCCAACATCATCACACTCTTCCTGTCTCATGAAGCCCACAATGACACCTCCAACACAAGCTCTACCTCCCGTAATCTACCCTTGTTTGGGCCAGCTGAAGAAACACCAAATCCCAAGAACCCAGAAGTGTTGTTTTCAAAATAGCAGTATGGGGCCAGCACATTTCAGAGGTGACGTAATATGACCTCGGAAATGTGCTGGCCCTACCCCGAGGGTGTTTGTATAGCAGAACAATGGAATCGGTAAATAACAACAGATGAGAGGGAGGTTCTCGCCCCTGATGACGTCAAAAACAAAATGGTGCAATTCCTGATGAAGAGGCACTTTCTAGTTTTCTTTGGTCTTCAGCAACCCATGATGGTCGTGGCGACTAAGGGGATCGGGTGGTCAGGCTCGATGACTTGGTTGACACATGTCATAGTATCCCAGTTGTGTAGATCGATGCTCATGCTGATGTTTATAGACTGTCACTCCTTAATAATGTCTATAAACATCTAGAGACACCTAAGTCATACATCAGGATCCTCTTCGTTGACTTTTAATCTGCGTTCAACACCATCCAGCCACATTTCATGATACAGAAACTGTTAGACATGGGCGTTAACTCATACCTCATTAAGTTGATCGAAAACTTTCTTGTGGACAGACAGCAGTACGTGAAAGTTAACGGGGCTGTACCACCAACACTGGTGCACCACAAGGCTGTGTAATATCTCCTGTTCTTTTCACCCTCTACACTAATGATTGTGCAAGCTCGAATTCAACCTGTTCAACTGTAAAGTTCGCAGATGATGCAGCAATTGTTGGCAAACTGAGCGACACTGATTCTGAAGAACTGTATAAAGAGGACATTAATCATTTTACGACTTGGTGTGCAGAAAACCACTTACCCTTAAATGTCACAAAAACAAAGGAACTAATAATTGACTTTCGGAGTAAGCCCACAGAAATGCTTCCAGTGATAATTAACGGGGAATTTGTTGAGACAGTGTCGGAGTATAAGTATCTGGGAACCTTCATTGACCCTAAGCTGAACTGGAACTCTAACACTGAAGCCCTATACAAAAGGTGTCAACAACGTCTTCATCTCATGCGTAAACTGAGATCTTTTAATGTTAACCCATCTGTGATGTCATCTTTTTATGCAGCATTTATTCAGAGTATTTTAAAATTTTCCTTTCATTGTTGTTACGGGTCTCTCTCAGTTCTTCTCAAATCTAAAATAGACAAAATTGTTAACACTGCAAGTAAACTCGCTGGAGTCAGATTTGAATGTTTATCATCAATATATGAGCGGCAAATCGTGAATCAAGCTGTCAAAATTATATCTGACCGTACTCACTACTTAAATTCGGAATACAACCTCCTCCCTTCAGGCCGCCGCTACAAAGTTCCAATTGTGAAAACTAAGAGAGCCCGTACATCCTTTATTCCAAGTACCATATCTCTCTTAAACAAATGTGAAGATACCTAAATCAATGAATTTATGTAAATATGTTTGGTATCTCTCTAATGTGTCAGTAGCTCTGCTGATGTAACACAAATTCCTGAAAAGGCATTAAAGTATTATTCTATACTATTCTATGCTGTTGATCACTAGATTGTCGGTCCAGACTTGATTATTGAACCCGATAGTCGCCTCTTACGACAAGCATGGCTTGCTGAAGATTAATTCTAACCCAGATCTTCAGGGTTATCCCACCTGAATTGTAGCTTAATCCGGTTTTGTCTCCCACACCGTGTGATCTTTGTCTAACCACGTTGTTACAATATCATTATTCTGTTGTTACTGGTTACCTACCCATCATAATCACTCCAATGCGAGATAATTGTTGTCTCATACGTAATATTTCATACAGTACAAGTTTCCACAGTCAATCCAAAAGTAACACATTTGTATAATTAGCCTGCAGGGGAGGATACAACTTTTTTTTAGAAAAGACGCACGCACGCACACACACGCACACACACTGGATCCGCCTGGTGTAATACGGGTGAGTAAGTGGTTATGCTTACTCAGTTTTTATCAAACCATCGGGGCACGGTGTTTTCATTTCTAACACAAATAATATAAATGTATGTTGTGCGTGTGCTTTCAAATTATTGACAACTGTTTTTGAAAATGCTTGCGTTAGATAAATGCTCAAAAGTTCATTATAAAAATTGTTTGTTTTGAGACGACCCCTGGGTGCGAAACTTAGGCAGCCATAAACAGCTCTACTTGGCGCCATGTGCGAAAGTGTTGACAGTTCATAACAAGCGAAAGCTCGGATAGTTCGTCAACATGAGCAGGTTAACAACTGATATTACACTAGAAGATATTGACGACTGGTTCAAGATAGGAAAGGAAGCAACACAGAAGAAGTCCACGATACAGTCTGTGCCACGAAGCTTCACTGGAGGCCGGGACTACGACCCACGAACTGGAACTGTACATGGAGTGCAACAAAATGACTTTTCAAAGCATCTTCCAACCTATAAAAGGTGCGTTTCAGGAAACACACTTGCCGCATATTCGTATGATAATTCCTTGTGAAAACCGTAAGCATGGTTGATGATTGAAACGAAGTAGGACACGTGTCACACCGGACACAAAATGAAATAACCATGATAAAATATGCTACGTTTCACTTAGTAGTAACCACATGCATCCGGGTTACAGCTGTTCTTCTGCAACCCATGCTTGTCGTAAGAGGAAACTAATGGGATCGGGCCCCGATTTCTCGAAACAAACTTAAGTTTTTACTCAAATTTCAAACTGAGTTTGACAATTTGAAACAGCTGAATTTTTAACTCAACTGCATTTTTAAAATAAAAATGCCAAAATAACTTAAGTAATCTATCCACCAAACTCCAATTGTCTACTATGGGAAATGCATTTGCTCAAATTTGAGTAAAAACTCTAACTTAAGTCAAAACTCAGACTTGAGTTTGTTTCGAGAAGTCGAGGCTGGTGGTCAGTTTGCTGACTTGGTTGTCACATGCCAATGTTTCCTAACTTCTTTGATAGATGCTCATGCTGTTTATCATTGGATTCAATAATTTTCTTATGACTGGATTATTGGTGAGTGCTGAGCATTAAACAGCAGAAAAATAACAAACCTATCAGGAACCAAACCGTAATACTTTGAGTGACAAATATTAACAGCAACAAATGTTTAGGAAGTTGATCTTAAATTTGGGCTTGGTAGGTATTTTGTACTCTGGTGGGTTCTGAATAGGACCTGTGAACCTACAGGACTTTCTGGATTGTCAGTTGCATGATGTTTTGTTTAATGACAACGACAATGTACATTCCATGGTTACACACCAAGTTGATAATGTTAGCATTTATTTCAGACTGGTTGCTCTAAGTTTAGTGTTTACATGATCAGATTGTTATGTCGGGCCTGCTTTGATTGTTAAGATGTTGTAAGGTGGCTGTGGACAAACAAGAGCATGATGATGCAGAGCTCTAGATAAGATTTAGCTCATGTGGGTACTGTACCCAATGTATTTTTTTGGAGTGGGTATTATGAATGTTGAGTGGGTATTTCATTTTCCGTTACCCACTGCTTTCAAACGTGCGTATTTCAGTCATTTTACTCACCTAAGTATATGTCATTGAGTAAGTTTACTAAGCAGGTATGTTCTGCCTTATGTCATACCTAATCAAAACCAACTTAAATATAATGGAAATGATTTCATAAAAAAATCACTCATCCTATACTAACAGTACAAAACTTGCCCTATACTAACAGTACAACTTGATAGCAATCGATGTCTTTTTCATTACGCAATTGATTTTCATTAATATATTCTGTACGCATTTGTTTTAAACTTTTTGCATATCAACATTTTAAATGCGTAATTGGTACGCAACAATGATTTTTTCAATGTGTAATTGGAAATTTTCTATGCATATTTTACCCGGATACGCAGCTTATCTGGGCCTCTGATGATGTGTGGGTGGTGTTGTAGGAATGTGGCGGTGGACCAACACGAGTATGCTGAGCGGATCCAAGAGGAGGAGAAACAACATCTCCTGCAGCATTATCAGGTCTGGAACACCCCTACACATTCCAAGACATCACTCAATTTGTTACCATGGTTACCAGTGAAAACAAATAGGTCTTGTTTCGTTAATATGTAGGGCCACTCCTGGACCATTTGCTCCAGTTACATGCAGACCCATGAAGATCCGGGTTAGAATTGATTTTCAGAAACCCATGCTTCTCGTATGAGGTGACTAACAGAATCGGGTGGTCGGGCTCACTGACCTGGTTGACACATGTCATCGCATCCCAATCGCATAGATTAATGTCAGTGCTGTTGATCACTGGATTGTCTGGTCCAGACTTAGTTACTTACAGATCGCCGCCATTTAGCTGGAATATTGCTGAATGCTGTGTTTAAACAACAATAACCAACCAACCAGTTGTCTGCAGAAATAGAGGGTCATATAGTTTTGACTAATCATTCAACTAAACCCAGGCTGAGTGTATATCACTCCTTTTTAGCATGTTTAATGTACACTGGAACCTAGTGAAACCAGTTGACCTCAGAGATTATGTCAAGAATGTCCTTCCAGCAAGCAAATGGGTTACGACTGATGAGGACTGTCATATTCCATTAGGTGGGGAATTACAAAGGTATGCGGTGCCACAGATGATCACAGATTCTGGTATAAAGGTGACATGAGAACAGTTTCTCGGCAGAAGTGTTCCGTGTTCAGTGGCTCCATCTGTACAGTTAGTGATGGAATGGAGCACAACAAAAGTACTGATGGGCCATGGTGGCCCAGTCTGACCAGTTTATAAGACAAAGATAGGGCATAATGATCATGAGTGTACCTGCACAACTGATGTTAGTGGTATGGTGAAACAATGATGAAAAGCTCAGAGTTTTACTTTGGCCTACAAAACTAGGGGTCTAAGAAGAATAAGGTGAAGTTAATTAAAAATACTCTACTGTAAGGTTTGATGATTGCATTAATTACCAGGATAAGAAAGTAAGAATGTAAGATTCAAACAGATTAGTAACCAGGAGTTTAATAGTTTTTGTTAAGTGAGTGAGTGAATGGGTATGTTTTTACGCCACTTTTAGCAATATTCCAAGCAATATCATGAGTGAATGGGTATGTTTTTACACTTTCCAAAATTGGGCTTCACAAATTGTTACCCATGTGGGGAATCAAACTCGGGTCTTCAGCATGACAAGCAGACGGTTTAACCACTAGGCTACCCCACCGCCCCAGGTTTTGTTATGAATTTTATATAATTAATATTATTATGGTCCCCAGGAATGCAATATATATTCTTCTTTGCATCAATTCCATACAATAGTGCGTTCTGGATTCTCATTATGTGTTGTATAAAGCCCTGAACAAAATGGTGAAGGTATAGATTTCCACAGATTTTAAACATGTTAAATGCATTCTAATCTGTATCCATGGTGTATCCTTCATGACATTCATCAGTCGTGACTTCCAGTCTCTGAAATGTCCTCATTCTTGTCCTCAAACTGTACAAATCTAAAGTGTGTGCTGTGTTAGTCATAGCTTTGTAATGGTGTATATGTATCATTCCCAGCTTCCACACGAGACGAAATGAATGTTATTTAGGGCTAACACATTTCTTAGTAAAGTACGAATTCTAATACTTTCTGGATTGAATGCAGTCTGGAATGTGAACCTGAACTGAGTGAGGCAACAAATCAACACACGAAAGTCTCTGATCAAATCTGCTCAGCTACTGAGACTTCAACAAATATAGAAGTCCCACAACTGGTAGCAGGGCTGTAACGATGCATCTAACTATCGATGGATTACAATTGTTGAGTCTCCGATAGCGATTAATCGATGGTAGAAAGGAAAAACTATCGATGCATCGATAGTATTAGACTAAGGCTTAGTCTCTGAATATATATAATTTTGATAGTAACAAAAAAGCCCATTTATATTGAAAAGGAGCCCTGGGGAGACAGAACCTGAGGAAATCTAGACTTGCTTTATTTAGGGCTTTAGCACTGCAGAGAGGGCTTGGCAGTAGGGAAAATAATGTGGTTCAGGGACTGTGAGACAGACTAGGATAGTATGTGTGACTATCGATAGTTTAGTAATTCCGTTGATAAATGCGCAGCTCAAACTACAGGAAGTACCAGATTCATACACTTTGATTTAGAGTTAACCACCCCTGTTATCTTAATCTGGGTTTGATGTTTCTTGTCAGTTATTAAAAGAGACTGAAACTACTTCAGCTTGTTTTTGTTTCATATAAACTATACATTCATTTGGGAAATTACTTCAAATGAGACAATTCAAGGAGAAAAACACTATTGCAACAGTATTGCAATAGTTGGTCGCAATAGACTATCGATATCACAATATTATGTTGCAATAGACTATCGCTATCGCGATAGTTGTTTTCCCTCAATAGTCACCCCTACCTGGTAGTCTAGATCACATACTTTGCTCACCTGTGACAAGTCCAAATTAGCATGGCTGTCTATGACAGAAAGTTTCTTTACACCATATCTTTTGACAAAGTGGTCGAATGTAATCTGTAACAGTTTGTATTACATTTTCTTAGTAAAGTACTAAGTCTTGAAGTTTCTTGAAATATAGTTGAGAACTAAATTTAACATAGCATTTAAACTTTTGATACATGTGATATATTATGATTGTGGGTAAGATCTTTAGACATTGTGTGTGGTGAGCAGCTTTGGAATGATAGCTGGAATGTGTGTTTCAGCCCCTGCAGGTTGGGCCGATGTCTCCTGGTGGGGAAGTGGTTGGGGGGATGGAGCAGCTGGAACTAGACAGCACCGTGGCGGGGTCCGTGGGGATGCCGGAGGACCTGGTGCCTCCTGGAGCCACTGAAGTCTACAACAACTACCACTTTGCCCACAACTATGACAAGAAACTGCCCATCACAAACCACAAGGAACAGGTGCTTGCATTTCTCATGTCCTTCTTACTCATTAGGTTAGGACTTTGAGCACATATTGTCATGTGTCATCTGTTGTTAGTCAGCAGAGACCCAGCAGTTTCCTTTTCTCTAAAACTGGTCGACAAATTGAGCTCAGCTTAAGCATCTTAAGTTATTTGTCTTTGATCTGGAGTAATATTTTTTCCTGTAGGTATTCAAGTTATTTGGTCATAAGTGTTGCTTTAGGAATAAGACATCTGATTCACATTTCCTCATAAGGGATGCTTCAATCAAGCTGTAAAGGCTACAGACATCTATGTTTGATGTGTGCTTATAATTTAGTAAACATTTTGTTTACTGTATGCTGCATCTGGGTGGGGTTTATCTAGATCTGATGAGAGGCTGATATTTGGGCTGACATCTGCAGCTGATAGTAAAAATTCCTAATTTAAGTTAAAATATTCCTGATTCGTCAGAATTTGTGAAACTAGGAACATTAAGATGATCTAACAGTATGACACGTTTTTCCCACTTTGCTTAACAATGGCACGTATTGTTGTTCAGAATCCAAGATAAATCACAGATCTGGTTTGTAGTCTGACAGTTATAATTGTTCTCTCATGTACTTAAACCTGTCAGTTATAATTGTTCTCTCATGTACTTAAACCATAACCCTGTCAGTGATAGTTGTTCTCTCATGTACTTAAACCATAACCCTGTCAGTGATAATTGTTCTCTCATGTACTTAAACCATAACCCTGTCAGTGATAATTGTTCTCTCATGTACTTAAGCGATAACCCTGTCAGTGATAATTGTTCTCTCATGTACTTAAGCGATAACCCTGTCAGTTTTAGTTGTTCTCTCATCTATTTGAACAATACCATTCCCGTACTGACGATGTGGCCTATGTTCCAGCTGTTGAGCACTATAGAGAGTAACCAGGTGACAGTGGTCCAGGGTTCCACCGGCTCTGGCAAGACCACGCAGGTGCCCCAGTACATCCTGGATCACTATGCTCAGGAACACAAGCACTGCAACATCATCATCACACAGCCTCGTCGTATTGCCGCAGTCAGCGTGGCAAGGAGGGTATGCTCCGAGAGGAACTGGACTCTTGGAACGATCTGTGGATACCAGGTAAGTGGCCTGCTGATTTAGACTTACAACAGTGCTTGGCTTAGAGATGTGTAAAGTGAAAATCATAGCAGATTGTACTGATTCATGTTGTGCCCAGAGAGGAAACCCGTGAAGATCTGGGTTAGAATGTGCCTTCAGTAACCCATCCTTGTCGCAAGAGGCTCATGCTGTTGATCACTGGATTGTCTGGTCCAGACTTGATTATTTACAGACCGCCGCCATATAGCTGGAATATAGCTGAGTGCTGTGTTAAACAACCAACCAACCAACGCAGAGAGGAAATTCTGGTTTGAACCCAGGTTGTGTCATAGCAAGAAATATTCAAACATTGTACCTGATGTTGCCCTGCCTGGCAATATGTGTTTAGGATTGTTAAGGGGTTAAAACAAAGACTGGTTAGCATGGAGTCTGTGTAGTGTTGTGGGGTGTCCATGTTAAACTGTGGCATGGTATCTCTGGGGGTTTATACAGTAAATCCTGCTCAGGCCTAGTTCAAGGAGCACCCCCATACGTCCACACACAAATACATGCACTTCACCACATAAGTTGAATAATAAGCAGCGTTAAACCTCACCTCACCTCACCTCAGACCTGTGAAGATCCGGGTTAGAATGTGCCTTCAGTAACCCATGCTTGTCGTAAGAGGCGACTAACGGGATCGGGTGGTCAGGCTCATTAAATGGGTTGACATATGTCATTGGTTCCAAATTACGCAGATTGATGCTCATGCTGTTGATCACTTGATTGTCTGGTCCAGACTCGATTATTTACAGACCGTCGCCATATAGCTGGAATATTTCTGAGAGCAGCGTAAAACTCAACTCACCTCACCTCACCTCACCTTCAGTCCACCTCACCTCACCTTCACCTTCAGTCTACCTCACCTCACCCTCACCCTCAGTCTACCTCACCTCACCCTCACCTTCACCTTCACCTTCAGTCCAGGTGCTATCAGATCATCATATCAAGTCAATTAGTTTTACAAGAACAAATGTTTTGTAACCCAAATGATGATGATATCGTATTCCTTTCAGATTGGCCTGGACAACAAAACATCGGAGGACACTCGCATCACCTACTGTACAACTGGGGTACTGAGAGAGAAGTTGATTAAGACGAAAAATATGCTGCAATACACACACGTGATCCTTGATGAGGTCAGTCTGCAGCTCTTCTAAGACGTCTGTTAATGTGTTGTGCCCTTCAGAACATCTCTGTCTTCTCAATTATGGTATCACAAACCTTCATAAAGGAACATACATTTGTGTAACTGTAGAGTACATGTTCAAAAATTGGAATATTTCTGAGAGCCACATTACTGAACTATTAAACCAATATTAATGAGTAGTACGTGAAACTATAGTCATTCATGGTTTTCAGGTTCACGAACGAGACCAGGAGTCGGATTTTGCCCTGTTGATTGTGCGGAAGTTGCTGCGTACCAACTCACAACATGTCAAGGTTAGTGGAACTCAGATGTTCATCTGTGCCTGATGTGGGATATTTTCTGTCTTGTTTGTAATGTGTGTGTGTGTGTGTGTGTGATGTGATGTGATATGTGATAGTTGTTATTGATCTGGTTGACCTGAGTGTGGAGCTTGATTTATCTGTGTGTAGTTGATCTGTATGTGGTCTGTGGTTGACCTGTGCATGGTCTGTGGTTGATCTGTGTGTGGTCTGTGATTGATCTGTATGTGATCTGTGGTTGATCTGTGTGTAGTTTGTGGTTGACCTGTGCATGGTCTGTGGTTGATCTGTATGTGGTCTGTGATTGATCTGTGTGTGGTCTGCGGTTGACCTGTGCATGGTCTGTGGTTGAGCTGTTTCTGGTCTGTGGTTGAGCTGTTTCTGGTCTGTGGTTGAGCTGTTTCTGGTCTGTGGTTGATCTGTGCTTGGTCTTTGATTGATCTGTATGTGGTTTGTGGTTCATCTGTGTGTAGTTTGTGGTTGACCTGTGCATGGTCTGTGATTGATCTGTATGTGGTATGTGATTGATCCGTGTATAGTTTGTGGTTGATCTGACCCATGAAGATCCGGGGTAGAATAGGTCTTCAGCAACCCATGCTTGCCACAAATGGCGACTATGCTTGTCGTAAGAGGCGACTAACGGGATCGGGTGGTCAGGTTCGCTGACTTGGTTGACACATGTCATCGGTTCCCAATTGTGCAGATCGATGCTCATGCTGTTGATCACTCGATTGTCTGTTGCAGACTCGATTATTTACAGACTGCTGCCATATAGCTGGAATATTGATGAGTGCAGCGTAAAACTAAACTCACTGTAGTTTGTGGTTGACCTGTGCCTGGTCTGTGGTTGATCTGTATGTGGTCTGTGGTTGATCTGGTTGATCTGTGTGTGGTCTGTGGTTGACTTGTGTGTGGTCTGTGTGTGGTCTGTGGTTGACTTGTGAGTGGTCTGTGGTTGATCTGGTTGATCTGTGTGTGGTCTGTGGTTGACTTGTGTGTGGTCTGTGTGTGGTCTGTGGTTGATCAGTTCGTGGTCTGTGGTTGATCTGTTCATGGTATGTGGTTGATCTGTTCATGGTATGTGGTTGACCTGTTCATGGTCTGTGGTTGACCTCTGTGTAGTCTGTGGTTGACCTGTGTGTAGTCTGTGGTTGATCTGTTCATGGTCTGTGGTTGATCTGTGTGTGGTCTGTGGTAGACCTGTTCATGGTCTGTGGTTGACCTGTGCATGGTCTGTGGTTGATCTGTTCGTGGTCTGTGGTTGACCTGTGCGTGGTCTGTGGTTGATCTGTTCATGGTCTGTGGTTGACCTGTGCATGGTCTGTGGTTGATCTGTGAGTGGTCTGTGGTTGACCTGTGCGTGGGCTGTTGTACACCATATGTGTTTGTGGTGGTTGTAACGCCCTATCCTTCCCTGTCTTAGAGGTCATCCTGATGTCGGCCACCATAGACTGTGACCTGTGAGTGGTCTGTGGTCGATCTGTTCGTGTTCTGTGGTTGACCTGTGCATGGTCTGTGGTTGATCTGTGAGTGGTCTGTTGTACACCATATGTGGTTGTGGTGGTTGTAACGCCCTGTCCTGCCCTGTCTTACAGGTCATCCTGATGTCGGCCACCATAGACTCTGACCAGTTCGCCGATTACTTTGCCCTGCCAGTCCGCGATAGCCTGGAACCGGCGCCGGTGGTGAGTGTTGAGGGCCGAGTGTTCAGGGTGCTGGAGTTCTACGCTGATGATCTCACTCCGGCACTTGGACAGGTAAGTACTGATGAAACACCAGGTTGATGATCCTTGGTGTCATATGGATCATACAAGTATGCATACTTATACTCATGACAGATACTGTGTGATACTGATAACATCATTTTCTTGCTGAATTGTACAGGGCGGTGGGGTAGCCTAGTGGTTAAAGCGTTTGCTCGTCACTCCGAAGACCCTTGTTCGATTCGCTGAATTCGCTGAAATGCAAATATGTAATGAACAGTATGATTTATAAAGAAGCAGGGCTTCAGAAACCAAATGGGATGTGATGAAGATGTAGATGTAGATGGGTACAGTCTTTTTATGCATATTAGGGGCGGTGGGGTTGCCTGATGGTTAAAGCATTCGCTTGTCATGCCGAAAACCCGGGTTCGATTCCCCACATGGGCACAATGTGTGTATCCCATTTCTGGTGTCCCCTGCTGTGATATTGCTGAAATATTGCTAAAAGCAGCGTAAAACTAAACTCACTCACTCACTCTTACTTTCGTCAAATGTTGAAATAATTTTCAGCCGTGTGAAAAGAGACTGCTTTAATAAGGTTGTTTGTTTTGAACACTGATGGTGATTTTCTAATGTCAGCTTTACCAAGTTAATTGACATGAGAGATTTCTCTATTGTGGATTTCTTCCAAATGGATTGTCAGATCATTGCTGATAATACCCAGGACTGGATTGTCTGATCTAGGCATGTTTATTTATAGAGTACCGTAACAAAGCAGGAATATTGTGGAGTGTGGCAAAAAGCAAAACACACACAACCAGCACACACACAACCAGCACACACACACTCCCGCACACACACACACACACACACAAGCATGCCCATGCCCTTATGCAGGGCTGATAGTCATTATAGGCGACCTTGCTTCTGGATACTTTCAGTAACCTGTAACCTTATACTACAATTATGTTCTTTGTGTGCAGCTCCCTGAATTCGATGAGAGTAAGCCTGAATTAAGTGAGGAGATCGAGGACATGGCTGTCAAACTCATCTGTGAGTTTGACTCACTGGAACGCAAAGAGCAAGGGTATGTGTGTGTTGTCAGGCTTAACTAGGATATACTGTGTGAACTCATATTAAACAAGTTTGTGAGTAATACTATCATTGATCTGCATCTTTTATTTGTTTATATTTTACATTCAGTAATTGTTTGATGAAGTTTAACATTAATCGTTTGTTTGCTAATTCATGTTTTCTACAATTATTCAGCATATTCTAGGAGGACAATGTCTCCTACCATGTTCATGTAATGAATGTATTCCTTGTTTACCTCTCTGTTACCAGGCTGGACAAAGACACAAACTTTTCCCCTGTCCGCGGAACCGTACTGTGCTTTCTGCCAGGTACCCTACCCTAGCGTGATAAACATGATCAAACATATTTGCAATTCATTTGCTCCAGACTCTCATATACCTTCCTAACCTATCAAAACATTTCATCCAAAAAAGCAATGGAGCATTATGTAAACTTATTCTGCAATATATCTGATCTATCAGAACTATCAATTTGTTCCTCCAGATTAACTGTTGAGATCCTCAAGAATTGTCTTTGTCTCAGATGAATCATCCATCCATCTATCCATCCATCCATCCATCAATAGATCCATCACACACATACACATCACTAGACACACACACACACACACACACACACAAACATACATCTGTCTGTCTATCCATCCATCCATAGATCCATTCATCTGTCCATCCATCCGTCCACCCACCCTTCCATGGATCCATCCATCCATCCATCCATGCATAGATCCATTCATCAGTCAATCCATCCATAGATCCATCCATACATGGATCCATCCTTCCATCCATCCATCCATAGATCCATTCATCAGTCCATCCATCCGTCCACCCACCCTTCCATGGATCCATCCTTCCATCCACCCATGCATAGATCCATTCATCAGTCCATTCATTCACCCATAACATCCATGGATCCATCCTTCCATCCACCCATCCATCCATGCATGCATAGATCCATTCATCAGTCCATCCATCCATCCACCCATCCATGGATCCATCCTTCCATCCACCCATCCATGCATGCATGCATAGATCCATTCATCAGTCCATCCATCCATCCACCCATCCATAGATCCATCCATCCTTCCATCCATCCATGCTGATCCATTCATCTATCCACCCATCCATAGATCCATTCATCTGTCATCCATCTATCCATCCTTCCATCCATCCATGCATAGATCCATTCATCTGTCCATCCATCCATCCATCCACCCATCCATGGATCCATCCTTCCATCCACCCATCCATCCATGCATGCATAGATCCATTCATCAGTCCATCCATCTATCCATCCATCTATCCATCCATTCATCCATTGTCTGATTTAAGTTGCCTAATAATTTTGACAGGTTATGGTGAAATCTCGGATTTGTACGACAAACTGAGAGTACATGAAGCAAAACACAAGTAAGTAACATCCTCAAATCCAGGATTTGTTTCAAGAGTTGGTTATCTTGGCCAATATCCAAAGATAACAGTAGTAAGGAAGTGAATGGATGTTAGTGATAAAATGATGTTATATTACCTGGTACATTCATGTTCAGTAAATTCCTTTTTGTTAAAATGTTAAAGATATTATAAAACTAAGACTTAAGAGTAAGCTTACTTCCAGTCAAGCCGTTTTGTATTTTGGAAACTATGGGTACTCTTCTCTTTTTATTATGTGTTTACGTTTGCCTTGCTTAAACCCAAATCTCCAAATCTATGCACATTTGATTTTGGAATGAACTCAGTGCTGCAGCTAGAGGTACACCTATAGAATACCGGATACCTACCAGCCATTATGTTTAGTGTCCTGTCACCCTAACCCTAACGCTAACCCTAACCTAACCTAACCCTAACCCTAACCCTAACCCTAACCCTAACCCTAACCCTTACCCTAACCCTTACCCTAACCCTAACCCTAACCCTAACCCTAACCCTAACCCTAACCCTAACCCTAACCCTAACCCTAACCCTAACCCTAACCCTAACCCTAACCCTAACCCTAACCCTTACCCTTACCCTAACCTAACCTTACCCTAACCCTAACCCTTACCCTAACCCTAAACCTTACCCTAACCCTAAGTAAACTCACGTGCTTTCAAAGATTGCGGGAGGTATCCGTTATTCTGTAGTCTTACCCAGCTAGATTTGTGTTTAGAGCTACAGATAACTTTCCGCAGATACGCAGCTTATTTGTACCTCTGTGTGCTTCAGCCTGAAAGTCATCCCTCTACACTCCACCATCACTCAGGACGAGCAGATGAGGGTGTTTGAGCCAGCTCTCAAGGGGCAGCGGAAGGTGAGTACAATGGAGTACTTTGATGCAGGTGATCATCAGCAGGTTACACATCACCAGGCTGCCTGGAAGACTGACCCCTTCTACAAAAACTAGCCCAATGTGTATAAAACCATGGACCCTATGTAAAGTGAACTTTATCTTTCACCCAACGTGAAGTGTACTTTATCTTTCACCCTACGTGAAGTGTACTTTATCCTTCACCCAATGTGAAGTGTACTTTATCTTTCACCCTACGTGAAGTGTACTTTATCCTTCACCCAACGTGAAGTGTACTTTATCTTTCACCCTACGTGAAGTGTACTTTATCCTTCACCCAATGTGAAGTGTACTTTATCTTTCACCCTACATGAAGTGTACTTTATCCTTCACCCAACGTGAAGTGTACTTTATCTTTCACCCTACGTGAAGTGTACTTTATCTTTCACCCAATGTGAAGTGTACTTTATCCTTCACCCAACGTGAAGTGTACTTTATCTTTCACCCAACGTGAAGTGTACTTTATCCTTCACCCAACGTGAAGTGTACTTTATCCTTCACCCTACGTGAAGTGTACTTTATCTTTCACCCTAAAGTGTACGTGGAAGTGTACTTTATCTTTCACCCAACGTGAAGTGTACTTTATCTTTCACCCTACGTGAAGTGTACTTTATCTTTCACCCAACGTGAAGTGTACTTTATCTTTCACCCTACGTGAAGTGTACTTTATCTTTCACCCAACGTGAAGTGTACTTTTATCCTTCACCCTAACGTGGAAGTGTACTTTTATCCTTCACCCAATGTGAAGTGTACTTTTTATCCTTCACCTGCGTGAAGTGTTTTTATCTTTATCCTTCACCCAACGTGAAGTGTACTTTTATCCTTCACCCAGCGTGAAGTGTACTTTATCTTTCACCTTATGTGAAGTGTACTTTTATCTTTCACCCAATGTGAAGTGTACTTTATCTTTCACCCTCATGTGAAGTGTACTTTATCTTTCACCCAACGTGAAGTGTACTTTATCTTTCACCCAAGCGTGAAGTGTACTTTATCTTTCACCCAACGTGAAGTGTACTTTATCCTTCACCCTATGTGAAGTGTACTTTATCTTTCATCTTTATCTTCACCCAACGTGAAGTGTACTTTATCTTTCACCCAACGTGAAGTGTACTTTATCCTTCACCCAATGTGAAGTGTACTTTATCTTTCACCCTACGTGAAGTGTACTTTATCCTTCACCCAATGTGAAGTGTACTTTATCTTTCACCCTACGTGAAGTGTACTTTATCCTTCACCCTATGTAAAGTGTACTTTATCTTTCACCCTATGTGAAGTGTACTTTATCTTTCACCCAACGTGAAGTGTACTTTATCTTTCACCCAACGTGAAGTGTACATTATCTTTCACCCAACGTGAAGTGTACTTTATCTTTCACCCTACGTGAAGTGTACTTTATCTTTCACCTAACGTGAAGTGTACTTTATCCTTCACCCTACGTGAAGTGTACTTTATCCTTCACCCAATGTGAAGTGTACTTTATCCTTCACCTGCGTGAAGATTACTTTATCCTTCACCCGACCTGAAGTGTACTTTATCCTTCACCCTATGTAAAGTGTACTTTATCTTTCACCCAACGTGAAGTGTACTTTATCTTTCACCCAACGTGAAGTGTACTTTATCTTTCACCCTACGTGAAGTATACTTTATCTTTCACCCAACGTGAAGTGTACTTTATCTTTCACCCTACGTGAAGTGTACTTTATCTTTCACCAACGTGAAGTGTACTTTATCCTTCACCCTACATGAAGTGTACTTTATCCTTCACCCTACCTGAACTGTATGTGTTGTATTGCAGGTGATACTGTCCACCAACATTGCTGAGTCATCAATAACTGTTCCAGATATCAAATATGGTACGTTTCTTTCTGTTACTGAAGGATGTCGAAGTTGGACTGAAGCATGTTGTTTCAAACATCCTTCCATATATATTAGTTTTGATGCTCCAAGTTTATGAGTTTCATATCTGTTTGACATGTTACAAAAGACTTGTAACACTTGATACAAACAACGCCAACTCAGTTTGTTAAATATCAGTGAAGGCCCATGGCATCCTGGCCTTTTGAGATATTTTCAGTTTTTAGCGGAACAGCCTTTTATCATCAAAAAAACTATCCACAGGAGATATTGCAAGTGTGTGATCAAACGATATCTCCTAGGAGATATCGTTTTGACAGTAGATTTTGTACAATGCCCTGACAATGCTATGAGGTCATGAACTTGATGACGTCACAATGCTATGACATCGCTGTAATGTAAGTCTAATGGCAGTACCGTGTTCAGAGATGTACATATTTCATTGAAAAAAAAATGAAGAGTGATTTTTTATGATAAAAGAATCTCACCCTCATGTCTTCTGATATCAAATATATCAACACTCGGCAAGCCTCGGATATTTGTAACTTTATCAACTTGTTAGCAGAAGACACTTGGGTGAGATTCTCTATAGCACTGGTTCGAGAAGGGAGCTAACTCTGCTTGCCTTATTGAAGTGCAAAGTGGACACATGTCAAACTAAAGGTACATCTTGAAGAGAATATGTACCATGTACAGCTTGTATGACTGTGTTCATACAATGCACGTTTTCTTGACTTTTAATTGGGTTGGAGTGAACAAATGCTTAGAAACTGCAGTAAAACCTACTTTTGCAACCATCACAAAACTAGGTCATGTGCTCGTAAGATGCGACTAACGGGATCGGGTGATCAGGCTCGCTGGCATGGTTGACATATGTCATCGTATCCCAATTGCGCGGATCGATGCTCATGCTGTTGATGACTGGATTGTCTGGTCCAGGCTCAATTATTTACAGACCGCCGCTATATAGCTGAAAATTGCTAAGTGCGGCGTAAAACTGAACTCACTCACTAACTTTAACTGACCACCCAAAATGTTATCATTTGTTATGGATTGTGAATGTCATCTTAAAAAGTCTGCAGTTTAATGTTTGTGATGTCATTCACTGGATTGTCAGTCCAGATGTAGTGATAGAAGATCATTATATACAGGGATGAGAATTTTTCAATGGATTTGATAACGCTGGGGTCATTCTTGTGAATCGTCCAAACCTGCAGCCCTCAAGACCCCCAGCTCATTTTGCTATTTTTTTCACTCATATTCATTCTCATCCCTGTTTGTAGCAGACATGTTGCTTAGTCTTCGAGTAAGGTTGGACAAAGAAACTACAGAACATCCCATTGTGGAGAGGCGACTAACGGGATCGGGTGGTCAGGCTCGTTGACTTGGTTGACACATGTCATCGTATCCCAGTTGCATAGATCGATGCTCATGCTGTGATCACTGGATTGTCTGGTTAAGACTTGATTATTTACAGACCGCTGCCATATAGCTGGAATATTGCTGAGTGCCGCATAAAACTAAGCTCACTCACTCACCCATTGTGGATCATATAATCAATATGATTGCTTAATGTTTGACCACTTGTCACTAATGCCGTTCAGTAATGACCCATATGTCCTGTTTTGTGTGTAGTCATCGACTTCTGCCTGACCAAGAACCTGGTGTGTGACCCCATGACCAACTACACCCATCTGATAGTGGACTGGGCAGCCAAGGCCAACTGTACCCAAAGAAAAGGTCAGCTACCACACTGTCTTCAATGTCTGCCACTAACCTCACTGTACTTGTTGACGTGATAATGCTTACATTGATCAAGTTTGATTGAATGTAGTTGACATGTATTACAGTGTTTGGAATTCCTCATGTTACTGTGTCATTAGCTATGTAATTGAAGATGATGTTCCAGGGCCGGTACCAGAAATGGATCCTATGACTGTCTGCGTCAAAGCATGTGCTTGGATTGACCTATTATGTGACTGCTTTTTGGAATAGGGCCTTTGTGCATCAACAACACACTAAGGGACACACTTAGATCATGATTTGAGAAAAAGATTAAAAAGCCAATGACAAATGATTTTTTCAGTAAAAATAGTCTTGATGAGCTGAAATGAAAATATGTAATGAACAGTATGATTTATAAAGAAGCAGGGCTTCAGAAACCAAATGGGATGTGATGAAGATGTAGATGTAGATGGGTACAGTCTTTTTATGCATATTAGGGGCGGTGGGGTTGCCTGATGGTTAAAGCATTCACTTGTCATGCTGAAAACCCGGGTTCGATTCCCCACATGGGCACAATGTGTGAAGCCCATTTCTGGTGTCCCCGGCTGTGATATTGCTGGAATATTGCTAAAAGCGGCGTAAAACCATTCTCATTCACTCATAATTGGGCTGTTATTACATAAAAGTGAACACTACATGTATGTGGCTGTATAATCATGATTATTTGAAGTTTTTGAGTATGTGTGAGTGTTATTCCACATGTTTACAGGTCGAGCTGGTCGTGTTTCCAATGGCCGCTGCTACTTCATGGTGACCAAGACATTCTTCAGCCAGTGTCTGCCTGAATTTGGAATACCAGAGATGCAGGTACAGTTCTCAGGACAAGAGAAATAGAGAGTCCTACTGTCCATTTGTCTGGGAGGGGCAGAGGGGTAGCCTAGTGGTTAAAGCGTTCGCCCGTCACACCAGAGACCGGGTTCGATTCCCCACATTTGTACAATGTGTGAAGCCCATTCTGGTGTCCTCCACTGTGATATTGCTGGAATATTGCTAAAAGCACCTTAAAACTAAACTCACTTCATTTGTCCAGGATGAAATGTGTGTTGTGTGAGTTCCAGTGGGGTGTTGCTGGTGTTTTCTCACCTTGTGTTGTGTTGTGTTGTGTTGTGGTGTTGTGTTGTGTTGTGTTGTGTTGTGTTGTGTTGTGTTGTGTTGTGTGATCTATTCACTGACTTGTTTGTTTTGCCCAGCGCTGCCCACTAGAATCTCTGGTTCTAAAGACAAAGATATTCAACATGGGAGAGCCGAGACGTCTGCTGGGTCTTGCCCTGTCTATTCCAAAACTGGACGATATTGAGAGGACTATCCTCAACCTCAAGGAGGTAATACCTACTTTTATTTCATTCCTTGTTTTGTCTGAAGGACATGCAATATATAGCATATGCCTCATGTTAATATCCTTAAAGCTAATACTATTGCATGAAAACATTCTATATGACAGTGTACGCTTTTGTATGACTACAATAGTAATCAATAATCAGAAATCAGAACAAGCTTCTTTTAAACCTTTACCATTGCATGTGCATATGTGCAACAATGTCAATCTCCAGATTTTCAAGTATGAATATTAACTGGATTTCAGAGGCAGTTGCTGAAAGTAACCTGGAGTACCAAAAGTTGGAGTTGACAATGTTTTGATGTCATTTAACACTCCTTGATGACATTGTCATGATTAGTGTGGGGTTATTTTATATGTGGTTAGCACATATTTAAAGGTTCAGTTAATAATTTAGGGAACAAATTACTAGATGTGTGACAAACTTTTATGGGATTGAAATATAACATCCTCTTGTTCTAATGTATTTTGTCTGATCTGGTTCAATAGACTGCCATAAATGTTCCAGGTGGGTGCTCTAGCCACATCGTACAACGCACCAAACAGCCGGTATGATGGAGACCTGACTTTCATCGGGAGGGTACTCGCGGACCTGCCAGTTGACATACGTATCGGGAAACTGCTTGTTCTTGGCCATGTCTTCTGTCTTCTGGAAGAATGTCTTATCATTGGGGCAGCACTCTCTCTCAAAAGTATCTTTGCGAGACCTTTCAAGGCTAAACTGAAAGCTTTTGAGTGAGTGCTTTTGTTGGTATTACACAATATATTTGGTGTTTTTGTATAGCTCTCAAAGGAGGTCAAGGACAACCCAATTCTTTGATATTATTGTCCCCTGCCACCAATTTAGGGGGATATAGGTTTGAGCTCTGTCCATCCGTCTGTTCGTGATGATCGGGGTCAGATTTTCTCGGAAACCGTAATAGATAGAGAAGCCAAATTTGGTATGAGTTTTCAGGAGATGAATGCCTTGATGGAGTTCGAAAACGGAAACAATTCAGTGTTACAATTTGTTACAGAGTTATGCCCCTTGTCATGCGTTTCTTGACTTAGTGCATGGTATCCCCAATAGGGACAGAATTTCTCCGAAACCGAAACCAAAATAGATCTATAGGGAAACCAAATTTGGTATGTGTTTTCAGGACATGAATACCTTGGGTTCCATCTCAAGAAATTGAAATGAGTGAAACATTTTCAATGGAGGATGTATATCAGACTGTTCATCTGATTAAGGCTGATCTGGTGCTGTTTTGTTTGGATAACAGCATAATGGATGACATTTATGCATTTCAGAGAAGGCATAACAATGTATAAACTTAGGTCAGATTTGACAGTCTGACATGTATGTTGCCACAACATGATCTGTCACTTGATGTGTGGACTTTTAAAGATCCGGGTAGAACTGTTTTTCAGCAGACCTTGTTTGTTGTGTAGCAAATAGTGGGATCAGGTGGTCAGGCTCGCTGTCTTGGTTATTTCATGTCATTGTACCCCAGTTGTGTAGGTCAGTGCTCATGATGTCAATCACTGGATTGTCTGGTTCAGACTCGATTATGTACAGACTGCCATCATATAGCTGGAATACTGCTGAGTGCGACATTAAACAACAAACAAACATGCTATGTGGCTACAACTTTCCTAGGGAGTATACTTACCCAAGCTGATGGAAAGTACTGGAAGGTTAACATTCAAATTACCATCTTATCCTACTACGTAGGGGCGGTGGGAGTAGCCTAGTGGTTAAAGCGTTCGCTCATTATGCTGAAAACCCTGGTTCAATTCCCCACATGGGTACAATGTGTGAAGTCCATTTCGGGTCTCCCTCGCTGCGATATTGCTGGAATATTGCTAAAAGCAGCGTGAAATTAAACTCACTCACTATATGTTGGCTTCTGGAGGATTAACAAATATTGATGGGTTTAGACCAAATTCAGTATGAGAACATGTTTATTGTCAATAGTCCAAGGAGTCAAAGGTGAATCACATGGTCATGCACCAGGTCTTGTTAACAGTTTGCTTTCTGTGGATGTAATCACAACTACATTGGTTTCAGGCACAAATACAGCTGGGGAGCCTTTTCCTTGAGTGACTGCATTGCGATCCTGAACGCTTACAAGGTAAACTTTCTATAATTGTCCTACTATATATGCAAGCGATAAAGGTAATATGCTGAAGTTTTTGTGGCAAATGTAATGATAACACAACCAAACACAAATGCTAAATATACGCAGAGAAACAAATTAAGGAACACAGGAAAATTCAAGTATTCCTTTAATATTTTCTAGTTTTCATCACCAGCTTTGAATAGTGCTGTGGTGATGAAAACTGGAAAATAATAAAGGAACGCTTTATTTTTCCTGTGTTCCTTTATTTGTTTCTCTACGTATAATTTATTCTGTCAAAATTGACATATCAGTCATTAGAAAGCTGCAACCCTCCTCTATATCCCCCCCTTGAGCAACAATGCTGCTACTGAAGTGTTTGTGTGGTTCAGGTATGGGAGAACAACAAGAAGCATCATGCCTTCAAGCGGACAGGAATGACGGAGAGGAAATGGGGAGAATCTCACTTCATTCAGATCAGAAGGATCAATGAGGTATGTGTCGGATGTACTCTGTGTGCTGGCCTGGTAATCATAGGTCTTGTCTGGTTGTCAGTGTGTGAGATCGGACACCTGGTGATGGTCAGTGTGTCATGCTGGACACCTGGTGATGGTCAGTGTGTCATGCTGGACACCTGATGATGGTCAATGTGTCATGCTGGACACCTGGTGATGGTCAGTGTGTCATGCTGGACACCTGGTGATGGTCAGTGTGTCATGCTGGACACCTGGTGATGGTCAGTGTCATGCTGGACACCTGGTGATGGTCAGTGTGTCATGCTGGACACCTGGTGATGGTCAGTGTGTCATGCTGGACACCTGGTGATGGTCAGTGTGTCATGCTGGACACCTGGTGATGGTCAGTGTGTCATGCTGGACACCTGGTGATGGTCAGTGTGTCATGCTGGACACCTGGTGATGGTCAGTGTGTCATGCTGACACCTGGTGTGGTCAGTGTCATGCTGCTGACACCTAGTGATGGTCAGTGTGTCATGCTGGACACCTGGTGATGGTCAGTGTGTCATGCTGGACACCTGGTGATGGTCAGTGTGTCATGCTGGACACCTGGTGATGGTCAGTGTGTCATGCTGGACACCTGGTGATGGTCAGTGTGTCATGCTGGACACCTAGTGATGGTGGAGTGTGTCATGCTGGACACCTGGTGATGGTCAGTGTCATGCTGGACACCTGGTGATGGTCAGTGTGTCATGCTGGACAGCTGGTGATGGTCAGTGTGTCATGCTGGACACCTGGTGATGGTCAGTGTGTCATGCTGGACACCTGGTGATGGTCAGTGTGTCATGCTGGATGCCTGGTGATGGTCAGTGTGTCATGCTGGACGCCTGGTGATGGTCAGTGTGTCATGCTGGACACCTGGTGATGGTCAGTGTGTCATGCTGGACACCTGGTGATGGTCAGTGTGGTCATGCTGGACACCTGGTGATGATCCGTGTGTCATGCTGGATACCTGGTGATGGTCAGTGTGTCATGCGCTGGATGCCTGGTGATGGTCAGTGTGTCATGCTGGATGCCTGGTGATGGTCAGTGTCATGCTTGACACCTGGTGATGGTCAGTGTTTCATGCTTGACACCTGGTGATGATCAGTGTGTCATGCTGGACACCTGGTGATGATCCGTGTGTCATGCTGGACACCTGGTGATGATCCGTGTGTCATGCTGGACACCTGGTGATGATCAGTGTGTCATGCTGGACACCTGGTGATGGTCAGTGTACCGCGCTGGACGCCTGGTGATGATCAGTGTGTCATGCTGGACGCCTGGTGATGGTCAGTGTGTCAGAGCTGGACACCTGGTGATGGTCAGTGTGTCATGCTGGACACCTGGTGATGGTCAGTGTGTCATGCTGGACACCTGGTGATGGTCAGTGTGTCATGCTGGACACCTGGTGATGGTCAGTGTGTCATGCTGGACACCTGGTGATGGTCAGTGTGTCATGCTGGACACCTGGTGATGGTCAGTGTGTCATGCTGGACACCTGGTGATGGTCAGTGTGTCATGCTGGACACCTGGTGATGGTCAGTGTGTCATGCTGGACACCTGGTGATGGTCAGTGTGTCATGCTGGATGCCTGGTGATGGTCAGTGTGTCGCGCTGGATGCCTGGTGATGGTCAGTGTCATGCTTGACACCTGGTGATGGTCAGTGTTTCATGCTTGACACCTGGTGATGGTCAGTGTCATGCTGGACACCTGGTGATGGTCAGTGTGTCATGCTGGACACCTGGTGATGGTCAGTGTGTCATGCTGGACGCCTGGTGATGGTCAGTGTGTCATGCTGGACGCCTGGTGATGGTCAGTGTGTCATGCTGGACACCTGGTGATGGTCAGTGTGTCATGCTGGACACCTGGTGATGGTCAGTGTGTCATGCTGGACACCTGGTGATGATCAGTGTGTCATGCTGGACACCTGGTGATGATCCGTGTGTCATGCTGGACACCTGGTGATGGTCAATGTGTCATGCTGGACACCTGGTGATGGTCAGTGTGTCATTGACCACCTGAAGCCAGTGAGTGTGTGAGACTGGACACCTGGAGCTCGCCAGTAATCAGTGTGTTGTTTGCAGGTGTCTGAGTTGATCCGGGAACTAGAGCAGCGGCTGGAAAGGTTCAACATCCAGAAGCCCGTCAGACAACCACAATTCAAAGGGGACTACAACTCATCCAAGGAGAGGCTGCTTCTCAAGGTAAAACTTGCTGTAATCAGATGTCGCACAGAATATCGTTGTAAGACTGTCATCCCCAAAGAGACATGGTTTCTTGAAGTGTATATGTGTTTCAGCTTGTTCTGTGCGGGGCCTTCTACCCAAACTACTTCCTGCGGGGAGAAGTCGATGAAGGGGATGCTATCAGGACACTGTCCAACCACGATCCCATGAACACTGTCGCAGTTAGTATTAATCTGTTGTTTAATGTAAACAATATTCCGCTACTATGATGACATAGCAGCTTGCAAATAATAGCCACCAGACAAAGCAGGGATTGGTATTGCATGCAGTGCTCCATGCTGTCTGGGTATGATACTGTCAAGCAGGTCATTGAATCTGACCACCTGAGCCATTTTGTCTGCTATTCTGACCAGAATAGGTTGCTGGGTTTCTATGACAGAGCTCTGACTCATAATTGTACTAGGGGTAGCCTAGTGGTTAAAGCGTTCACTCGTCACGCCGAAGATCCAAGTTCGATTCCCCTCATGGGTACAATGTGTGAAGCCGATTTCTGGTGTCCCCGACTATGATATTGCTGGAATATTGCTAAAAGTGGCGTAAAAAACTCATAATTGGCCTGTTTTTAATATTTTACACCTGCAGTTAAAAATTATTAATATACTGAACAATGTTTGGGGTTGTGAATATTTTTGGGATATTGTGAAGATAGTGATGTTTGATGTTCATACATTATGGGATGACATCACATGTGGACGTGACTATTTTTGCCATTAAACTGTCATTTGAATGTGGGCGTTAGTAACACTTTGTATCTGTAAGTCTAATCTGCGTAGTGACTGATTATCAACTCCTGATGGATTCTTCTAATTTTCTTAAGTGAGTGAGTGGGTTTATTCTTTTCAGAAGAAGTCCTCCTTGGGGTATATATAAGCATTAAAATGTCCATTTTAAAAGCCCACGACAGTTGTAACAATATTTTTCAATAAAATATTTTACCAAACAAAAACTCGCTATGTGTGGTGAGACCACCCTACAGGGCCCCGTGAGGGCCCCCTACAGCCAAGAGCAGGTAACTCTGGCTGTGTACCTCGTGACTTCCTCACTTTTCATGCTGTCACGGGCCGTAGGTCGATTGCATGGTCCAAGAAGCTACGAATAAGAGAGCGATGGAGTGAGATAGAGTCAAATCCTGTATATATGGTTCCTTTTTTTCGCCGGCTGAATTAGCTGGAATCTTTGTATGACTTTTTCATTCATGATTTGTTGTAACTTTACGGGCGTGATTCGCTGTCTCCAGCCACGTGGCAGGCAAGATGGCGGACCGCGGGGTCCCGTTTGCTTTCCTTCTCCTGGCTTTAGAAAAAGCCTTGTAGTCGGGTTGTGAAAGGGCTGATATTTCATTTTGTAGATTATACTTTGCCTAAATTCCTCTTTTTCCAGGCTTTAGGTAAGTTTTGTTTTGAGTGTTTTCGTGGACGCCGTTACGGGTCGCTCACACATGTTGCTCTTTGTCACCTATGTATGCGCTAATTACGCTTATTATGGCTTTACGCTTAGTATTTAATAGCTTTGCTGTAACAGTTAAAATATCGCCCGGGCGTTGTATTTTGTTCTGTTTTGTTGTGTGCATATTATATTATGTATATCGTACAGTCCTTGCTATTATCATAGCGTGGTTCTGTTTTTTGCAGCCCAAGGGGTGTGTCACCTGTAGCGGCAGTTTGTCGCCTCAGGATCGCCACCTGGTTTGCTTACGTTGTTTAGCGGAGGAAGCCCATGACGAACAAGGTTGTTCTATGTGTCAGGCTTTCTCCCCCCGCACCATCAAGTCCAGACGTGCTGATTACATGTTCTACACGTCCTTACTTCAGGCGGGGGGGGACATTTGGGGTCAGGAGCCGCCTAAAGACAAAGATAAAAAAACAAAGAAAAAGAAGGCTTCGGCTTCCTCTCTTTCGGGGGATGCTCCTAAACGGGCGAAGGGTGCGGGGCCTCCGGCTCTTTCACCTGCCATCCCCTCAACATCACAGGCACCTTCCCCCCCTCCTGTCCCTGTTTCTAACCAGCTAACAATTGATTTACTTTCTGATATATTGCAGAAGCAGATGGATTCGGGTCCACTCACCGTGGCTGACGCGATGGCTGGCCTCCGTCAGGAGATTGGTCCCGACCAGGTGCAATGGGTGTGTGTGCCGGGTCTATGGCGGCAGTGCTCCCAACCTCCAGCTTAGGCTCTGGTGTGGGGTTTCCTGTCAGCCGGCGTCGGCTCTCTTTGCCTCTCGGGTTGCTGGCCACCCTCCGCTGTAGTAACTACACCGGCCCGAGCCTTGGCTCCGGGTCTGGTCCAGTAGTTAGTAGTTTGGCAGTCCCTGTAGTTGCCGCTACTTACATGACTTGGTCCCACCGGCTATGCCGCGCTTGGCCGGGCCATTCGGGTGTCTGGATCATTTTGTCTACCATTGAGGAATCCCAGCACGGGCTCTCTTCCTCATCACGCACCGCTGACTCAGTCCCGAAGTCTTGGGTCGGGTGTGTGCGGGCAACCCGGCTCTGCTCGAGCCTTTGTCCTCTTGTAGACCCCTCGGATGATCCCTCAGAGCTCTCTCTGGAAACAGAGACCTCACCCATTGAGGATCGATTCGAGGAGGCTATGGAGGAGGAGAGGGTCGGGAGGAGTTGGGTACTTTTTAGTTTTATTTCGGTGCGCCCCTGAGGCAGGTGCAATGGGAGCCATTGCTTCTGTCCTGCCCCAGGTAGTGGTCAGTACTGGCGACCCGACCCTCCTCAGGAGTTTCGCGCCTCCCAGGGGAGGCTTTGCTCCCACCAAGGTGGGGACACAAGGGCTGCGTGATATTACCCTCAGTCTTGTCTGAAGTAATCAACCCCCTCCTCTGTGGTACCAGGTCCAGGTTCGATTTGCCAGAACTTGACCGCCGGTACCTCATGGGGAGGCTTGCCTCTACAACTCCCCAGTGGTTGACGACAGTGTTTAGCGATCCGTGTTACGCCCTTGGGGGTTCGCCGGGTAATTCTATGGCTTCAGCCAAGCAAGGTCGCCGCTTCCGCTGCTCACGACTAACGCTACAGCGCTTTAAATCCGGGCTTCTATCGATCCTTTGAAGAGCAATACCGCAATGCGGTTCAATGCCTCAAAGTGGCGATCCATTCCGCTTACATCTCCGGTGTTGCAGAGGCAACTACTGGATGTGGGTGGGGTGGAGGAAGATTCGCCTCCCTCCACCTTGGCTAAGCAATTAACGGAGGTACAGTCACATCTGGCTACATTCTATCAGGTCACGCGGCTTGCCAAATGATGTCGGCGGTGATGGGCCTCCGCTTCGCCTGTGGCTTTCCGCGGGCGCAGGTATTCGCCTGCCACGCAACAGGCTCTGCTGGCGCTGCCATTCGGATGGGTTCTACCCTGTTCCCCGGGCAGCTACAGTAGTCCGGGAGGCCGCTGAGGCTGTCTCAACCTTCAAGGACTCTAAGCCCTTGCTGGAACAGCCTCACACGCCTCGCCGCTGCCCCGGTTGTCTCCTCGCAGATATCCTTCTGTCGCCGCTGAAGGAATCTGTTAAATGGCCTCAGCCCTTGCAGTCGCTGAGGGTAAGGGCAGAGGCAGGGGGCAAGGGGCAAGCCACGCGGCCACCACCAGCCTTTTCAGAGGAAGGGAAGTCAGCCCCGCTTCCCCTAGCTATAATTCCTCCGAGCCCTTGTTGGTACCAGACCAAGCAGTCGGAGTACTGCCAAAGTCAGGTATTCAATGTCTCCTGCCACATATCCCTGTGGGTGGTCGACTTTTCCTCTTCCTGTCGGAATGGGGAAAAAGTCACGCCCAATCCCTGGGTCCTGTCCACACTCAGGGAAGGCCACTTGCCACAGTGGAAGCGGTAGACCCACCCCTTCTCCGGGATCCGTTGCACTCCAGTGCCGCTGCCCTAGAGAAGGCGGGAAGTGCTCAGGCCGAGGTCCAGTCGCTGCTGGACAAGGCAGCCATAGAGGTGGGTCCTGTGGGACAAGAAATGTTGGGTTTCTACTCAACTTATTTCCTTTGTCACCAAAAGGACGGAGGGTTCAGACCTATTCTAAACCTCAAAGGTCTGAAACGACATGTTAGAGGTACCGTCCTTCAAGATGGAAACACTGGCGCTCGGGTGATTTCTCAGCCTGTGGAGAAGGGAGATTGGCTCACGCCAATCGACCTCAAAGACGCCAGACTTCCATGTCCCTATGCACTCCCGAAGTTCCGAAATACCTAAGGTTTTCCTTCGACGGGAGGTGCTATCAGTTTCAGGTACTCCCCTTCGGGCATTTCCACAGCCAAGGGTGTTCACCAAACTCATGCTAATTCCAGCTCAGGTAGCCAGGTCACAGGGCAGGTGCTGTCACCCCGCATCTAGACGATTGGCTCCTTCGCGCTTGCCACTCACTTGAGTCGAAGTTGCGACACTTGCTGTGATGAGTATTCTCACCAAGTTGGGCTGGATTATCAACCTCAAGAAATCAGAACTGGTTCCCACCCAGGATCTGGTGTTCTTGGGAGCGAGATTCGACAGCGAGGGATAGTCTCCTGTCTCCGGACCGCGTCACCAAAGTCCAGAGAGTTGTGTTACAATTTCGAGTTCCCCCAGGGCCTCAGCTCGGACTTGGCTCCAGTTGTTAGGCAACATGGCTGCAACGGTGGACATCGCTTGGCGAAGCGCTGTTGAGGATGCGACCCATTCAGCAGGCTCTAGCTCGAATGTGGGTCCACACCCAGGGTTACGAAGTTGATTCTCCACACCCAGGGTGGCTAATTCCTCATTTACGTGGTGGACACTGGCAGGAATTTATCCAAGGGGCTCCCTTTGGACATCCCATCGCCAGATCTCTCAATTCAGACGGACGCTTCACAGGGTGAAGCGGCTGAAGCTCTGTCGGTCCTCAGGCCTGTGGTCACAGAGCGAGGCGCAACTGCACATCAATGTGCTAGAATTGAGAGCAGTCAGGTTGGTGTTCCAACGACTTCGGGAGGAGGTTCAAGGCCGTGTGGTCTGTCTCGAGATGGACAACCAGACGGCAATGACCTACATCCTGAAGCAGGGCGGCACGGGTTTCCCCGTCCTCTTCTGCAGGAGGCATGGCAGTTTCTGCTCTGGTGCGACCAGTTCGACATACGGGTAATGCCTGTTTATCTCCCAGGGCGGCAACGCTTACGAGCAGATGCACTTCTCGTCGATCCTGGCCCCACACGAAGTGGATGCTCCATCGGGGATATTCGGGCTATCTCCCAGTTGTTCGGGTCGCTCCAGGTGGATCTGTTTGCATCTGGGGGATCTAACCAGATTCCGGTGTTTTGCTCTCGGATACCGGATCCGGTGAGCCATCGCCCAAGACGCTTTCCAGCTCGATTGGACGGACAGGGTTCTGTATGCTCCCGCCACTACCCCCTGATTCCCAAAGTCCTCTTGCAGCTTGCCACCCAACCAGCTCGACTTCTTGTGCTCCTTGCACCCTTTGGTCGGCTCAAAGCTGGTTTCCGGTACTACTCAGGTTTCTGGCTCAGCCTCCTGTACTATTACCCTTCGACCGGACTTACTATCCCAGAACGGAGCGCCGCACCTGAATCCCAGGATTCAGTGGGTGGCCTGGCCTCTGTCCGGAATCGCTTCCACGCTGAAATGAATTCCTGCACCAGTTGCAGACACAATTCTGGCTTCAGCGGAGGGATTCACACAAACGCTCAGTATGAGGATAGATGGGCCTGTTATGCGCGCTGGTGTGTCGGCAGAGGGATTCTTGATCCCTTTTCTTCAACTGTAATTGAAGTACTGGAGTTCTTGCAGTCCCGGTTAGAAGCCGGTTTAGCCTGCGTCTACTATCCGGGGCTATTCTCCACGGCAATCTCTGCCTTCCATATCCCTGCCGACGGTGCTCTCTTGGGGCAGCACCCTCTCGTGCAGACAGCTTTTAGCAGGCGTGACAGAATCCGTCCCGACTGTCCGGGCGGATTAGTCCCGCGGGACTTGGACTTGTCAATCGCTCTTGATTGGATGTCCGGTCCTCTCTTTCAATGCGATCTGTCGCCTCTTTCACTCCAGCTGTTAAGTTGGAAGGCTGCCTTTCTTGTGGCGGTAACGTCTGGCAGGCGGGTAGGTGATATCCATGCGATGTCAGCGGATCCTGCTCTGACTGTCTTTCACAAAGACAGAGTCAGTATTCGGTTGCCAGACTCCTACCGTCCCTAAGGTCGCAGGCTTTTCATATAATGGCTTCTATCGAACTGCCAGCTTTCACTCAGCCTCCATCAGTCCGGTACCTCTCTTCGGCGTGCTCATCGTCTTAGATGTCCGTAAAGACTCTCAAGGCTTATATCAACTTAACGGCTGCTATCAGGAAAGATAAGCAGCTGTTCTGTTGTTATGGCGGTGGCAAGGTTGGTCTTCCGCCAACAAGCAGACCATATCTAGGTGGCTTGTCTCTGCCATTTGTTCGAAGTTACTCTTATAAAGGATTAACCATCCCTCTCAGGGTTTAAAGGCTCATTCTATTAGGGCAGTGGCTTACATCAAAAGCATACCCGGCACTGCCCATTGAGGAGATCTGCTCAGCGGCTATCTGGAGCCGACCGAATGCACGCTTCATCCGCCACTATCAGCTGGACAAACACTCACGGAGCGTGCTCGGTTTGGCCAGACAGTTCTCACCAGTAGGCAGCGTCGTGATTCTCTAGCCGAATGAGCCTTAGAAATCACGCTTTGCTTTTCTCTCATGGTGTAGGTGTTAATAAATTCCCAATTTTTATCGGTGGTGGTATCACATTGGTGGTGGTTTTACCGCATGTAGCGATTATCACTCGCTACAGTCACTATGTTCATCCCTGCACCACGCTGGTTTGGGTTGCTGAGGGATATATATTGGACTCACTCCATACTTTCCCTCCCATTTTGATGGTTGGGGTGGACTTGCGTCCGCCTTTATAAATTCCACCAATAGCCTATCGGCTAGGCTCCTTTTCCTCGCTTCTGTTACTTCGATTGATTGACATCAGCGGTCAGGTGACTAGGTGAGTGTAACTTTCTCTCTGTGTCGCTTCGGGCTGTGCCTTCGACTGAACTAGGGGTATGTTAGGCAGACAGAATACCACCTCGACTCAACATCGCTGGGAGTCTGTCTTATGCTTATATGTACCCCAAGGAGGACTTCTTCTGAAAAGAATTTTACAAACCTGGAGAGAGGTTAAGAATTCTTTGAAGAAAAGTCCTCCTTGGGGTCACGCCCACCTCCCCTCATTCTGTCTGACACGCTCAGCATGAAAGTGAGGGGTATTTCGAGGTACACAGCCAGAGTTACCTGCTCTTGGCTGTAGGGGCCCTCTACGGGGTCTCTGTAGGGGTGGTCTCACCACACATAACGAAGTTTTGTTTGGTAAAATATTTTATTGAAATATTGTTACAACTGTCGTGAGGGCTTTAAAATGGACATTTTAATGCTTATATGTACCCCAAGGAGGACTTTTCTTCAAAGAATTAATAACCTCTCCAGGTTTGTAAAGTTTTACCGCTTTCAACAATATCACAGCTGGGGACACCAGAAACGGACTTTACACATTGTACGCATGTAGGGAATCAAACATGGGCTTTGATTAGACATTCCAACTGTCTTGTGTACAGAACTAACCTGAGCATCTTCTGTTGGAATTTGATGAACTTCTTTAAAGCGTAATCTCCTAAGAGCTAATGGCTGAGACTAAAGGTCAAGGTAATTAAACCTGAGATGCTTATAACTGTCTCATTAAGATAGCTCTTTTAATCATGTTTATGCACATGTAGTAATCACTCTCTATGTACAGGGGTGGTGGGTAGCCTAGCGGCTAAAGTGTCAGCTCTCCACGCTGAAGTCCTGTGTTCCATCCCTGCATGACAATGCGTTAAGCCCATTTGTGATGTCCCCCACTGTGATAGTGCTAGAATATTGCTAAAAGTGACGTAAGACCATACCCACTCTCCACGTACACGCCAGCAGACCATTAAGACCTATGACCTCATGTGTTCAGTTGAAGGGACTGCCGGCCAATCAGGGCATGCTGTACAAGGACAAACTGCAGCGTATCTTCAGCGATTGCAGTCGGGACCCGCCTCCCATCATCAACTTCGAGGAAACAAAGTGAGCTGAAACATTCACAGTGAAATTAGTGCTTACATTTGCATGCCATGTCACGGTAAATAGTTTAAAGGGCACAGATGAAATATTTCCGTGTACGCTGGCAGCAGCACGACTAAAATTATAACAGTAATACTCTCCACGAATCATTTAATGGAAAATAGGGTAAACCCTTTGAAAAAATTGCATTTCTATCCCAGCAGGTCCAAGTGGGTTATCTTATGTATATTAGTTGTCATATGTTTATCACCAATGCATATGAACTTTTTGAAACAATTGGATGAAACTGTACAAGATGGTCTAGAACCATAATGGGGCTCATTTGTTCACAGCTTAAAGTTAAAGTCTTGAGAAAAACCTCCGATCAGGTCTCCCATCATAGTACAGAGTGCCTAAGCATTCTTTTCAGAAACACTAGCCTTGAGGTCCTTCTTTGACCAAAATGTCTCAACTCAGATGACACAACCACCTACACTTGTGTCAAAATAAAACAGTAAATATAAACACAAAAAAATAAAGAACAAGTTCCAAAAAGCATGTAAAGAGAGATATCAAAATACTATGAAACTACAAAATATAATGCATTCTACATGCAGCAACAGTGAGTTTTACCTTCTGGTCATCTTTCCACAATCTATTTACAGAAAATAAGGTCAGCAAACATAATAAATGTATTTAATTACTATTATTAGTATTGGAATCACTGAGATAAGATATACAAAACATATTCAAAGACGCTTTATTCATTGTATGAAGGGGATTTGTGAGGGTGTATTGAATATACTTGTACTATTCAAAATGTGGAAATAAAGATGATAAAAAATAAACATAAAAAAAAAACAAAATAAAACAGTAAATGCAGGTGTTGTAACTTTGTCTCCCATATTTCCAGGGCTTTCATCCAGTTCCCATGGAAGGGCAACACGCTGTGTGAATCTCGGGTACACAAGGGCATATACATGGCCATCAAACTCAGGTAACAGTCACTGGTTTGTTAACTTGCATTCACTTCCAAGTTGTAGATATAGTGATGTACATTGTATCGAGCTATTGCTGATGAGTGTACAGTCTGTAAAGTTGACGCTGATGGTGTATGTTGTGTACAGGTTGTTGCGGATACCCATCGAGGTGGAGATGTACACGCGGGAAGATGCTAACATCATTGCCAGCAACCTGCACCGAGCTCAGGACATGGTGGCATCCCAGGGGCAGCTCCGTACCAACAGGTGGGTAAATGTTTGCTTGCTACTCTCATATAATTGTCGAGCAGTCGAAAATATATATGACACTTTAGATTATTCTGATTTATTCATTTGATTGACTGGGTCTAAAAAAGCCATAGTCAGAAAAAGAAATGAAAATAGTTTTAAATTGTTGCAAAAAATTTGAAAGGCCCAACTAGAAAGTGGAAAGGAGCGGTCAGCGTTTTAGAAAATTATTGAACAGATGGCACTGTACAGAATATTGGTCAAACTTCTGCCCCTAATCCATGCCTTCTATAATCACAACCCTTGACTATAGTTTGGCATGAAATGCATGTGGACCCGTTTTTTGTAAATATCTCTTCATCCAATGACCCAATCGATCTCAAACTGTGCAAATGTTCAGACAACCTAATCCATTGCATCGATTTTATGCATTTGTATCTATGTAATCAACAAAATAAACAGCAGACCGCAGACTGCTTGACTAATGAAGTTTTGACATCGATTGGGTCATTGGATGAAGAGATATTTACAAAAAGCGGGTCCACATGCATTTCATGCCAAACTATAGAAGATACATATTTCACTTCGTAGTGAGCATGTTGTTAGCTTTCGGAAATTTTGACAGACTCAGGGAACCCAGCCTTATCCCAGTATAAATGATTTCTCAATATTTTTACATGTATTATGTATAACCTGCCAGTCCTGTTACAGGCTAAAGGGGTCCACTCAGCAAAGCCTTGGTCAAGTTGTGGAGCCTCCCAGGCCCTCGGTGTCAGGAGTCCTGGTCATGGTCACTGCGGTAGGTACATATACCTGTACTCCTGAGTGGGATGGGGTTCAACATTGTGTTCTAGATTATTACACTTTTATAGTATTGAACATTTATGTGTCTTTAGGATGCTTGTGTTTGTCTGTGTTTGTTTATTTGTACCATTGTATGAATGGATAAGTTTGAAGGTCGCCTATCTAGGATGCCTGTACTGATGTTGACCAATGCTGGTTATCATTGACATATTGATAGTTCCTATCACCTGTCCTGGCTGAATGAGATCATTCAACATGCCATCGAAATATCACTCGAGCATCAGATGAACTGCCGATGGCTGAATCTGATGGTTAAATATGCCATCGAAATATCACTTGAGCATCAGATGAACTGCCGATGGCTGAATCTGATGGTTAAATATGCCATCGAAATATCACTCGAGCATCAGATGAACTGCCGATGGCTGAATCTGATGGTTAAATATGCCATCGAAATATCACTTGAGCATCAGATGAACTGATGATGGCTGAATCTGATCATTAAATATGCCATCGAAATATCACTTGAGCATCAGATGAACAGACGATGGCTGAATCTGATGGTTAAATATGCCATCGAAATATCACTTGAGCATCAGATGAACTGATGAACGATGGCTGAATCTGATGGTTAAATATGCCATCGAAATATCACTTGAGCATCAGATGAACAGACGATGGCTGAATCTGATGGTTAAATATGCCATCGAAATATCACTTTAGCATCAGATGAACTGCCGATGGCTGAATCTGATGGTTAAATATGCCATCGAAATATCACTCGAGCATCAGATGAACTGATGATGGCTGAATCAGATCATTCAACATGCCATCGAAATATCACTCGAGCATCAGATGAACTGACGATGGCTGAATCTGATGGTTAAATATGCCATCGAAATATCACTTGAGCATCAGATGAACAGACGATGGCTGAATCTGATGGTTAAATATGCCATCGAAATATCACTTGAGCATCAGATGAACTGCCGATGGCTGAATCTGATGGTTAAATATGCCATCGAAATATCACTTGAGCATCAGATGAACAGAAGATGGCTGAATCTGATGGTTAAATATGCCATCGAAATATCACTTGAGCATCAGATGAACAGAAGATGGCTGAATCTGATGGTTAAATATGCCATCGAAATATCACTTGAGCATCAGATGAACTGCCGATGGCTTAATCTGATGGTTAAATATGCCATCGAAATATCACTTGAGCATCGAGCATCAGATGAACTGATGATGGCTGAATCAGATGGTTAAATATGCCATCGAAATATCACTCGAGCATCAGATGAACTGATGATGGCTGAATCAGATGGTTAAACATGCCATCGAAATATCACTCGAGCATCAGATGAACTGACAAAAAATTGCAGGAAGCATGTAATGGCACAAAGAGGCCAACGTGAGTGAGTGAGTCGAACCCAAGTCATCTGCGTAACAAGCGAACGCTTTAACCACTAAGCTACCCCACCGCCCCGGAGGCGAATTAGAACCTGTGTTGACACCTACACTGTTCTTTCAGTCACTACTCAAAGAGAGTGCTAACACTGTTTGCTTTTTGCTCACGTAGTATGGTGCCCATCTTTCTATATATTTCTCTTCATCTCTGAAGTCGCTTGATGCATTCATGAGCAGATTTTTGTACATGTATGTTGAAATATTGCCAAACTTGGTAACAGATATACTCCAGTCCAGGTTAGAATTGGTCTCAAGCAACCCATGCCGGGTGTAAGATGCGATCTAAAGGATTGGATTGGCAGACTGAGTTGATGCATGCCATCGTATCTCAACTGGGTAGGTTGAAGCTCATGTTATGGGTGTTATTGTGCAGGTGGTGGAGTTCGGACACTTCTGGGCACAGTACTACACGGACTTGGCCATGAATCAGCTGAAACACGTGCAGGACCAGCTTAACAGCTCCACTGCCTTGATACAAGTACAGTATACGTGCCAACTATACATATACAGTAAACAATGTGTCCCGTGAAGATCCGGGGTACAATTGGTCTTCTGTAACCCATGCTTGTCATAAGAAGCGACTAACGAGATCGGGTTGTCGGGTTCGCTGACTTGGTTGACACACATCAGGGTATCCCAGATGCGTTCATCTATGCTCATAATCACTGGATTGTCTGGTCCAGACTTGATTATTATTTACAGACCACCGCCATGTAGCTTAATGTAGCCGAGTGAGGCATTAAACAACAAACCAACGAGTAAACAATGTTTATAGCAAACATGTTTATAATGAACTGACAGATTCCCATGATGATAACAGGCTGTAGTTGTATACTGTTTCCAAGGCTGCCGATGAAGTATTCCCCTGTACCTCGGGTTTGTTTACAATCAGAAAACATGCTGGAGCTTGCTCTGTCAGTGGGAGGCGTTGTCTGACGTGGACCAATCAGCTTCAAGCATGACGTCACCGGTGTTGTAGCAAGTTGGCCTCCATAAAATCTGATGCAATTAGTTGGTTGAGTAAAAGTGCGCGTAATTCTACGCCGCTCATATAAACCTCTTGACTAAGGGTTGCTCCCAGTGTAAATTCTTGTTCAGTGATATAGATCACTTATTCCCAGCATGACGAAGGAGGCTGTCGAGACGTAGGTCTGTATGGATCTTGAAGAAATATCGATGTTGAATCTAGTTGATAGGATATAAAATCCTAATCCCCACGCTGAGTCACGAGTGTTATTAATTTCATCTGTACGTCCGTTCAAGGATTCTTGAAGGCGTTGTTAACCTTAAGCCCTTTACAAAGGTCGCCTTGAGGTTCTCCAGTACTTGAGATATCGGCTTCATAGGTGATATCATATTGGAGTCGAAGTCATAAGCGTATATGCAGTACGTCTCTGTTGGGTTGGAGTGAGTGAGTGAACAATATCCGCAGGCCATCTGCTACCCGGTATAAGACCTCAGCATCCGTGATAGATGAAGTGATTCCTCTATAAGCAAAAGATCATGAGTCAGGATAAGTATACAAATATCAATTTTACTTAAAAAATTGCATTTTTTCCTTTATAATGAACACAAATTGGTGGTCCTTTTGAGATTGTCACAACTGAAGTTTACTGTACAAGTAACAATATAGCTGTTAATATGTTGTTGTATTGTCTTGTGTTGTTATTATGTTCTGTAAGTTGAAGTAAAATTGTTTCATCATATACTGAGGGAAAAAAATAAGGGATCACATGAGAGCACAAATGTTCCTTTATTGTTTTCCCTGGTTTCTCTGTATCGCACAACTTGTGAAGAAACCTGGAAAACAAAATAAAGGAACACTTGTGCTTTCATGTGATACCTTATTTATTTCCCTCAGTATATATAATAAATTCAGATAATAAGTTCTGAAACTAGTTTACTCAAATGCTTGAAGTTCTACTTTCATCATCACTTCAGTTATCATTGTTCAGTTGATTTTCATATTTGTATGTTTCCTGGCAGGTGACCGGGTTTCTGGCGCCAGGGAGTTACTGTGCTGCCATCTACCAGGATGAGTCCGTCGCCTTCTACCGGGGCAGGATCGTGGAGGTCCGGGGAAACATGGTGCAGGTACAGAGTTTTTCCTCAGTATCAGCTGACGAATGTCCTGTGACTCCAGGATAGTGCAGTAGTTATAGACTGTGCAGGAGGCCTTGATTTAGTCCTATATGCTGCGGCTCATGTACTGGTATTAGCATGGCCTTGTGTTTTTCATGGTAGCCGTTTTTCATGGTAGCCATCATGGCACTCTCCTACCCAGAGTTCCATGCGGCAAGCCAGCATAGTACCTCTGCCACAGGCCAGAAAGATCTGACGAATCGTGACATCTTGCACCGTCCATTCAATATAATGTACATATTTCTTAACTCTTTTATTTTTGAGGAGTCGTTTAGTTTCATTGAGAAAATATCCTAAACATGCCGTGATGTTGCTGGAATTTTGCTTAAAGCGGCATAAAACTAAATTCATGCACTCACTCCATCTCTAATCAGACGCAATGTGTGAAGCCCATTTCTGGTGTCCCCTGCCGTGGTATTGCTGGAATATTGCTAAAAGCGGCGTAAACCCAATTCACTCACTCACTCCAGAAGGAATGCTTGTTAACCTGTTATGAGCTGTCTTCAAGTGGAGACGGGCTAAGAACCAGGTTAGAACTGTTCTCAAGCAACCCATGCTTGTTGTAAGAGGCGACTAATGGAATCGGGTGGTCAGGCTCGCTGACTTGGTTGACACATGTCATCGTATCCCAATTGTGTAGATGGATGCTCATGCTGTTGATCTCTTAATTGTCTGGTCCAGATGGTTTACAGACTGCCACCATATGGTTGGAATTTTGCCAAGTGCAGCAGTAAACAACAAACAAACAAACCAAACAGGATATGGTTCTGAGACGTCAACAGAAAACTTTGTGGTTGTCATGCTTACAATGAAAGCATGGTAGATGTTAAATCTGAATTGTTTCCTACTTACTGATTGTAGTTTGTATGTGTTTGTGTTTTTTACGTGAAATCCATGTTGATCATGTTCTCTGTTGACAGGTGTTCTTTGTTGACTATGGCAACACAGAGACGGTGTCTCGAGATCACATAAGAGCATTGCCTTCCGAGCTGCTGGAAATCCCCTTCCAGGTGAGTTCTAAACACTGCAGGGGGAGGTGGGGTAGCCTGGTGGTTAAAGCGTTCGCTCGTCACGCTGAAGGCCCGAGTTCGATTCCCCACATGGGTACAATGTGTGAAGCCCATTTCTGGTGTCCAACGCCGTGATATTGCTGGAATATTGCTAAAAGCAGCATAAAACCCAACTCACTCGCTCACTCTAAAAGCTGCATACATTTATCCTTATGTGTAATTTTTGTCGGTTCACAGATTGATAGAAAATGCTGGAAATATATCAATAAAATGAATGTGGCGAAAATCATTTGCTCAACTGTTTCTACAGTTTGAGGGGCGGTGGGGTAGCCTAGTGGTTAAAGCGTTGGCTCGTCACGCCGAAGACCCGGGTTCGATTCCCCACATGGGCACAATGTGTTAAGCCCATTTCTGGTGTCCCCCGCCGTGATATTGCTGGAATATTGCTAAAAGCGGCGTAAAACTAAACTCAGTCAGTCAGTTCTACAGTTTGATGAAATGAAAATTACGAAGATGACAAATTGAACTTAGTAGTGAGTGATTATGGTGGAATAACACTGATATATCAGATATAACACAGCACGTCAGCTTAATGCAGAGGTACAGATAAACTGCCTATCTGCGTAAATTACGCAAATATTTATGTGAAAACTCAATTCCTATCCAGTCTGTTGCATACAAATGCAGTTGAATTTTTGTAAATACTCAATTAATTTGATCTTAAATGCATGCACACAAAAATGTCAAATCTTAGCTTGGAGGTTACTGAGGGTAGGTAAAATATATTGAGAGGTTCTATTTCAGCAGATGAACTCGGCAACTTGCAGTCTTTCTTGTCGTTTCTCATATTACTGATCAAATATATACTACTCAAAAGATCCAAGGAACACCTGTTTTTTTTATTATAAAACAATACATATGATACGATGAAAACAAATTTTATTGGTGGTTAAGGTAAATTCATTGCAGAAACAAAGTCTTCTCGCCGTCTCACGTATGGCAATGCCCTCCCGGATCCACCCTATAGCTCTCCCCCTGTCAGCGCAATGCTTAGAGGCAACGTTGAGGCATGGTTTTCAACATGTGATTGATTTGTGTTCCAAACGTTGCCTATAAGGGAAATTTGTGCATGATGTTCAGGGAGATTTGCACTATCACGTGCACTAGCAGGTTTGGGTGTATTCGGGAGAATAAGACCTATGGAAGCCTCAACTTTCAACTAAAAAATGCGGGAAAATGTCTAATTTCCGACCTCAAACCCTTGAAAATTCGTATCCATGGGTATGATGCTGTCTACCTGAAACATAAACCGAGAGAACTGGGATACATTGGATTCTGGTGTGCCCAAGGGAAGCAATTCTGCACACAGAATTGCAATATATAAGCCATCTTGGCCACCAGTTGTTGACACTGGTGCTTTGGTGTTATATGTTGTTTTCAGTAAGCATTTTCTTCTGACAGCGTTGTGCCTACTTGTATGATTTCGTGTTTGTTGTGTTCAGGCATTTGAATGCTACCTGGCTCACATCCGGCCGTCAAGTCTGAGGTGTCCTGATGGTGTGTGGAGCAAGGAGTCGACAACATGGTTCACTAGAGAGTACGTCAACAAGATTCTGTATGCCCAGGTAACGCAATTCTCATTGTAGTTTTATCAGATTTAGTCAATGGGGTCCAGACGAGAACTGCCCCCAAGACCCTGGCTCACAAAATGATTTTAACTCCACCCCAGTTGTAAGCTTATGTTAAAGAAGTGGAGTTACAATTGTCTAAACACTATGATTACCTTGTCACATGAACCCAAGCTACCTAATGGAATCGGGTGGACAGGCTCACTGACTTGGTTGACACATGTCATTGTATCCCAGTTGCATAGATCTATGTCTATGATGTTGACGACTGGATTGTCTGGTCTTGATTATTTACAGACCAACGCCATATAGCTGGAATATTGCTGAGTGTTAAACAACTACCAAACAAACAGAAACAATCAAACCTGTTATGGTGTTAATTAAGAGGTGACTCATGGAAATGTTCAGGCTTTATGTTTATTGCCAGTCATCATACCTAAACTTTGTGCATTTTAGCTCTCAATATCAATCACTGGATTGTTTGGTCCAGACTTGAGTGTTTAGAAGCCATCGTCAAGAACAAACAAACAATTACTCATTAACCATTGATTTTAGATCCCAGTTTTACCCATTAGTGAGTACATATACGTCAAGAGATACCAAATGACCAGATCGATATTGAGACAGTTTCTCTTTTTTGTTAGTAACCAGTCTGGATACTGAATGAAATTACTGCAGTGCACTTGATGGAGAAGAGGTAGTGAAGTATTGTCCAGGTGTTAACTGTGATGACATGTGGATGTCCTGATCTTGATGTTAAGTGTTACTTCTGCAGGTGTTTTCCGTGGAGAGGAATGCCTTGAGGCTACAGTTAATTGAGAAGACGTCAAACAATCAGCAAGTTGTGGTCAATGAAGATGTGGTCAGAAAAGGCTTTGCAGATGTTGCTGAGGAATCATTTCTGTCCAAGGTGAGATGTTCAAGCAATCTTCGATCCAATCTTTTTAAGACTTTGCAATCCAGCTTTATAAGTACAGTCAGGCCGCGTTAGTCCGGTCCCCGATAATCCAAGTCCTGCGCCATCCGAACAGACTCAAGCCGTAACCAATCTTGTTTACTAAATAAACACATCAACTGTTGATTCATTAATCTGATGCTTCAGTCTCTGACTTCGAACATCAATTATGGGTAACAGATTAGCTAATTATCCCCCACCATACGTACTTACGTACCGATTCTTGGTAACGCGATATCTCATGAACTGTTGTACCCAATGTCTTCAAATTTGGTGACAGCCTACATTGGGGGAATGGCCAGGCACCAGTCGATTTGGGTGACCTTGACCTCATCTTCAAGGTCACCACAACAGTTTGAACACTGTTCAAACTGTTGTTAACGTGATATCTCATGCACTGTTGTATCCAATGTCTTCAAATTTGGTGACAGCCAACATTGGGGGATTACGCAGACACCAGTCGATTTGGGTGACCTTGTCTATATTTTCAAGGTCACAACGACACTTTGAACACTTTTCAAACTGTGGTATCTCATAAAACATTGCACCCAATGTCTTCATTTATGTCAACAGCCTACATGGGTGATTGTGCAGACACCAGTCATTTTAGGCATCTTGTATGTGACCAAAAAATATACCATTCTTTACGGCGGGGAACATTGCCATATCAGTGGCAAACACTTGTTGTACTTGTTTTTGCTTCATAAATCCGGCTGACCCGTAAAGATCCGGGTTAGAATATCGATCTTCAGTAGCCCATGCTTGTCGTAAGAGGTGATTAACAGGATCAGGTGGTCAGGCTTGCTGACTTGGTTGATGCTCATGCTGTTGATCACTGGATTGTCTGGTCCAGACTCGATTATTTACAGACCGCCGCCATATAGCTGGAATATTGCTGTGTGGGGTGTAAAACAAACCTCACTCACTCATTAATCCAGCTGTTCATACGATGACCATATTGCCTAACAACAGCGGGGCTCATTATCAGTAAACGTCAATGGCAATTAATACATTGTGAGTGGAACAAGTCATGATTTTAATAATTAACAGATCACACTTTGTGTTAGTTTGATGAAAACCTGTCACAGTTGTTGTTTTCTTATGTGTGATATAGTCAGTTGATACATGTTCTGATCTGTTGTCTCTATCAGGCAAGGGAAAGGGAAGTAACTCTACTGCAGTGTGGTGCACTGGACTTGTTTCAGCAAACTGAACGTTTCACTATCCAAACATTTTTGATGAAAGCGGCACTGTTGGATTAACGAGGCCTGACTGATGTATAAACCAGATGGATTGCACATATGATGTGCCTCAATTAGTCGTACTTCGTTGTCATGAATATTTGTATTATTTTTCAAGCAAAACCATGACGACCGCTGTGCAGAAGCAATGAGTATGACAGTATCTCCAGATAGTGCATTGTCGGGACAGAAGGAAGAATGGATGAATGTAGAAATGCCACGAGAAACAAGAGCTGCCCTCAAGGGTTCCCAGCGTAAGGTAAGCAGCTTTTGAACAATCATTAACACAATATCATATACTTGACAAAAATAGTTAAGGATGTATGTAAATTTTGAAATTATGAATATTGATCTATTTATTCATTGACACACTGATAAAATATAAATAATAAAAATACCAATCTCCCTAACTTATTTTGTCCAGTATATAACATTGTTTAAAGGGAAAATTGTGGTTTTAATGTTTTGTGCACATTTCAGGTAAAGCTGATAGGTCCTCACAGTCCTTTGGAGATGAGCTTCCATAACATGACGTTTGTAGGCAGACTGAGGTATGTAACTTTGAACATTCTCTGATGTGTTTTACCTGTAACACCTCTCACACAAGGGGTGGTGGGGTAGCCTGGTGGTTAAAGCGTTTATTGTCACGCCAAAGACCCGAGTTCAATTCCCCACATGGGTACAATGTGTGAAGCCCATTTCTGGTGTCCCACGCTGTGATATTGCTGGAATATTGCTAAAAGCACCGTAAAACTAAACTCACTCACTCTCACACAAACGTAGACATGTACCTGTAACTCTCCTCTCTCACATACACAGGTATGTACCTGTAACTCTCCTCTCTGACAGACACAGGTATGTACCTGTAACTCTCCTCTCTGACATACACAGGTATGTACCTGTAACTCTACTCTCTCACAGACACAGGTATGTACCTGTAACTCTCCTCTCTGACAGACACAGGTATATATACCTGTAACTCTCCTCTCTGACAGACACAGGTATGTACCTGTAACTCTCCTCTCTGCACTGGTATGTACAGACACAGGTATGTACCTGTAACTCTCCCAGACACAGGTAACCTGTAACTCTCTCTCACATACACAGGTACCTGTACCTCTCTCAGACACAGGTATGTACCTCATACACACAGGCATCTACCTATAACTAACTCTCCAATGCTCCTCACATTGAAATACACTGGTTGGAATGTACCTGTAACTCTCCCTCTCACAGACACAGGTATGTACCTGTAACTCTCCCTCTCACATACACAGGTATGTACCTGTAACTCTCCCCTCTCACATACACAGGTACGTACCTGTAACTCTCCCCTCTCACAGACACAGGTATGTACCTGTTACTCTCCTCTCTCACATACACAGGCATCTACCTATAACTATTGATGTCTATCTCGCATACATACAGTACCATTTTGCTTGATTAAAGACACAAAGGTGAAATATTTCCAATGCTGAATCCTCAGCACATTGAAATACACTGGTTGGAATGCCATCATTTCTGTTTTTCTGCCAGAGGCTCAAGGATAGATCAGGACAGTATCAACTCTGTAGCCATAGACGACGAGCCACAGAACAGCCATGCCCGTATGATGGTTGCAGCGTTTGTTGGTCTGAATCCCCAAGCGTCCGTGATGATGGCAAGGGACACGACGATCATGCCGCTGATACCCGGCCTACCAGCCCTCATGTGTCTACTGTTTGCTCCAGTGGCAGAACTCAGGTGATGCCGCAACTCCCTATGATCCTGTAGTTAAGCAGCTTAATAAGATTGTGATGCTTTGAGGATTTGCCTGAATTTGAATGCATATTTCACCACATTTTGTTTTTGAACCTATTCCGTGTTTGGACATCTTAGACATGTCATGTCATCTGCAAGACCCTAGCCAGATGAAAAGTTTGTTTACTTCCTGGAGGTCAATAAAACTTGGTACATGCCTTCATTAGGGTTGGGTCAGGAAGGATCAAGGTCATCTAAATTAAAGGTCAAGGTCACAGTGAAGGTCATTGGTAGAGATAGTAGCCATATTTTATCCACTGCTGATATTGTTTGAGTACTATATTTGGAGTTGTTACATCATATGTATACTGTCCTTCATTGACAGTTTTTGAAAATTTACTTTCAGTTATTGGCTGTGGCTGTCGGCGATCTAGGTACTTTCGGCAGCAACACAGCAGACCTTGCTGGCTCTCCCTTTCCGTCTGGGAGCCGACCCTCTTTCCGGGGCACAGCAGGTCATGCATGGGAGGCTGCCGCTGCAGCTACCTCCTCCTCAAAGCTGATTCACAAGGGCCTTGTTGGAGCACCCAGCGGTGTCTGCCCAGCTCCGGTGCCACCTTCCTCCGCACTGGGTGCAGCCTACACGAGGTTCGGCTGGCCGGCCAGCTTAGTAGGGTAGGCGGAGGAGGGTAGGTCCGCCAAGGGTAGGGGCAAGGAGCAGTCACCGACTAGCTCCCAGCCTTTTCAGCCCGGTAGCCGGGAGGTCTGCCCGACCTCCCGTTAACCCAACAGGCTGCCGCTCAAGCCGTGTGTCACACCCAGTCAGCTCGCTGCTTTACTACTAGGGTCCGCGCCGCAGCTCCTACCCCATATCCCAGTGGGAGGCAGCCTCTCTCTATTCCTGCCGGAATGGGAGAAGGCTACCAACAACAGCAGGTGCTGGCCACGGTCAGCATGAGGCCATCTCCCACTGTGGAAGCGAGTCCGCCCGACTTCACGGCATCTGGCGCTCGGTGCCGTCATGCTGCCAAGCCAGAAGCCGGACATATTGCGCTGACGGTTCAGGCTCTGCTGGACAAGTCCCCAATCGGTCGGCGCATTCCACGGGGAGAGGAACAGGCGGGATTTTACTCCCACGTACTTCCTCGTCCGAAGAAGGCCAGCATGAGTTCCGTCGATTCTCAACCTCAAGGGGTTGAATCGCGATACTTTCAGTACCATCCTTCAAGATGGAGACACTGCGCGCCGGTGATCTCATCTGTTCAGCCCGGCGATTGGCTCCGCGTCAATCGACCTAAAGGATCGCGTATCTGCATGTACCCATACATCCCTCGTTCAAGCAGTACCTCCGGTTCTCTTTTATCCCGGGATGTATTACCAATTCAGGGTGCTCCCCTTCGGCATATCGACTGCCCCAAGGGTGTTCACCAAGCTCATGTTAGTCCCAGCTACCCTAGCTGCGGCTCGCAAGGAAAGCGTTGTTACCCTTACCTAGGACGACTGGTTGCTCGAACACTAACACAGCCAGCGGATCAAGATGCTACTCACACAGTGATAGACATTCTAACTTTCGACTGGGGTGGATCATCAACCTCAAGATCCGACCTGGTACCCACCCAGGACTTGGTTTTCTTGGAGCCGATTCAAGCGAACAAGGATCTCGTTTCCTTTCAGCCTCGACCGGTCACCAGAGTTCGGGAGATGGTATCTTCATTCCTCTCCCAGCCCCAGGCACCAGCACCGGACTTGGCTCCGTCTACTGGAGCCATATGGCGGCGGCGATCTCTGTAGTGTGGCGCGTAGCGAGTTGATCGTCCCATACAGCAAGCTTTGGCTGGGCTGTGGACTCACTCCACCGAGGAGGATCTGGAGCGCGAGTCTCCACAGTCCCGAGTGGTTGACACCTCACCTTCAGTGGTGGACAAATGTCGGGAATCTCACCAGGGGTTCCCCTTGGAAATCCCGAGCCCAGCTCTCACAGTTCAGACAGATCGCGTCCCTCACGGGCTGGAAGCGTTCTGGGCAGTCTGTCGGCTTCCGGACTCTGGTCGAAGCGAAGCTCACCTTCACATCAGCGTGTTGGAGCTGAGAGCTGTGCGGTTGGTATTGGCTTCAGAGAGCATGTCCGTGGGCAGTGTAGTCCGTCTTCAGTTAGACAACCAGACGGCCATGTACATACATCCTGAAGCAGGGAGGCCACCGGTGTCCCCAGCTCCTCCGGGCGTGGGACTTTCTCCTCTGGAGCGACCAATGCGATTGTCAGGTACTCCCCCTGTTTATCTCCGGGGCTGGAGGCGATGCGAGCAGATCGCTCTCTCGCGGATCCTGGCCCCCCGCAGTGGATGCTCGACAGGCAGATATTCGCAGTAATCTCCCAGTTATGCTTGAGATTGGATTCGAGGTGGATCTGTTTGAGCGTCCGGCCGGGACGCATCAGACACCGATGTTCTGCTCTTTCGATACCGGACCAGAGGGCGGCTGCCGGCAGCCTTCCTGCCGCTGGATTGGGCGGGCAAAGTGCTCTGGGCGTTCCGCGTTACCACTCATTCCCGTGTCCTTTCACAGCTGTCCACCCAGCCAGCTCGGCTACTTGTGCTACTGGCACCGCTTTGGCGTCCACAGAGCTGGTTTCGGTAATTCTCAGGTTTCTGGCTCAGCCTCCTGTTCTATTACCTTGCGCGACCCGGACATTCTCACTCCAGAGCGGGCCCACCCAAATCCACGGATTCAGTGGGTGGCTTGGCCTCTGTCAAGGTCTAACCTCGAGGCACGCGGAATTCCTGCAGCAGTTGCAGACACAATTCTGGCTTCGGTGGGATTAGAAGCAAAGCGTTCAGTATGAGGATAGGTGGTCCCGCTATGCGGCGCTGGTGTTCAGATAGGGGCATTGCGAGATCCCTTTTCTGCCGGATTTAGTCCGGTATTGGAGTTTTGCAAGCTCGTTTGGAAGAAGGCCTGGCGGCCGACCATTAAGTGGCTACTCCACCGCTATTTCCACTTTTCACACCCCTGTCGATGGTGCTCTTCTGGGGCAGCACCCTCTCGTTACAGCGCTTTCTAGCTGGCGCGGAGCGGATTCGACCTGCTCTCAGGCGAACCAGTCCACCTTTGGGATTTGTCGATGCGTCGTGCTCGATTGGCTGTCGGTCCCCACTTTCTCACACCTATCGGCTATTTCCATTCAGTTGTTGACCTGGAAGCTGTGTTTCTGGTGGCGGTAACATCTGGTCGAAGAGTCGCGATATACATGCTATGTCGTCCGACCGGCGCTGACTGTGTTTCACCGCGGATCGTGTCAGCATTAAGCCTCCCAGATACTTACCGACCGAAGGTCGATCACGCTTTCCATGTGACAGCTCCCTATCGAACTTCCTACTCTTACCCAGCCTTCCACATCGGGGACCACTCCTCTGAGCACTCACCCGTTGGATGTCCGTAAAGGCGCTCAAAGTCTATATCAAGCGAGCGCCAGGGGATCCGTGCGGGTACCCAGCTGTTCTGTTGTTACTGATTGGCGGGGAAGGCTGGTCTGCTCAGCCGAGCAAGCAAACTTTGTCTCAAGCTGGCTTGTTTCGTATTTGTGCAAACCTTATCAGGCTAAGGGCAAGCCTCCCCTGAGGGGTTGAAGGCTCACTTTCGGTCAGGGCAGTAGCAGCATCAAAAGCTTTTGCAGCGGCACTCCCCATTGAAGAGATCTGCTCTGCCGCCATTTGGAGCCGGCCAAGCACTTTATATACGCCATTATCAGCTCGATACACATTCACGCAATCGTCGCGAGCTTTGGTCGTTACCGTTCTCTCCAGTGGACAGTGTCCTGCCACCCTGACCAAGTGAGTCTTGGTTTATTGGTTTGTGTTGGCGGCCTGTACAATGATTCCATTATTGACATGTCTGCTCACGAGCACTCAGAGAACCTGTACCCCTTCGATTCTCTAAGGAGTTCACGATATCGTTAAGTGAGTGGTATTTTGTTTTCCCCCGGTGCTCTCACGAAGAAGCCACTTAGTGGGTCGGTTTCACTGACATTAAGCACTCGTGCAATGTCTCATTATGCTAGAGGTCGATCTTTGAGCACAAATCCTCCTGTCAGTTCCCCTCCCATAATGCCTCTCAAGGCCGAAACTGGGTCGAGTGACAGGTGAGTGTTATGGCGTCTGTTCAATTTTTTCCATGATCACGATCGCTATATTTTGTGTGTGCTTGGACAGAATTCCCTCCTCCCTGGCCTCCGGTCTTTGGGAGTCTGTGTTTATGCATAATATATGTACCCCAAGGACGATCTCTCTGAAAAAGAATTTTCCAAACCTGCAGAGGTTTTCAATTCTTTGAAGAGAGTAGATCCTTAGAGCCCACCCACCTCCCGCAATTCTGTTCACTGATGAGAATTCAGCAGAAGGAATGATGATCACGGGTCTAGGAGCCTACCCAGTTAGATGGCATGTATGCGCTAAGGGGAGGTAACTCCGTGAGGTAGGGTCCGTATAATAAGTAAAGAGTTTATTTATTGTACAATCTTTTTATTCAAAAACATTGATACAACTGTCACAGGACATTTTACAGCGGAAAATGCATAATATGTACCCAAGGGACTCTCTTCAAAGAATTGAAAACCTCTGCAGGTTTGGAAAAGTTTTAGACTGTGGTTCTTTCATGTTGTGTTCTATGATACATTGTGATTTGTCAGATCAACTGTGTGCGTCTTGCAATCAACGTGGCGGTGGGGACGCAGGACACTGTCACATGGGGTGGTGTCGCCACAGAGAAGTTGCAGAATAATGCCAGGATCAAACTTCTCAGGTGGGGCTCCTCTTTGTCTGTCTGTCTGTCTGTCTGTCTGTCTGTCTGTCTGTCTCATTCTTTGTCTGTCTCTCTCCTCTTTGTCTCTCTCTCTCTCTCTGTCTCTCTCTTTGTCTGACTCTTCTTTGTCTATCTGTCTCTCTTTGCCTGTCTGTCTGTCTGTCTGTCTGTCTGTCTGCCTCCTCTTTTTTCTCTCTCCTATTTGTCTGTCTGTCTGCCTCCTCTTTTCTCTCTCTCCTATTTGTCTGTCTGTCTCTTTCTTTGTCTGTCTGGCACCTCTTTGTCTATCTGTCTCTCCTCTTTGTCTGTCTCTGTCTCTCTCGTTTGCCTGTCTCTCTCTCCTGTTTGTCTGTCTCTCTCCTCTTTGCCTGTCTTTCTTCTTCCTCTTTGTCTCTTTCCTATTTGTCTCTCTATCTGTCTCTGTCTGTCTCATTCTTTGTCTGTCTGGCTCCTCTTTGTCTATCTGTCTCTCCTCTTTGTCTGTCTGTCTCTCTCCTCTTTGTCTGTCTGTCTCTCTCCTCTTTGTCTCTCTCCTCTTTGCCTGTCTGTCTGTCTGCTTCCTCTCTGTCTCTTTTCTATTTGTCTCTCTCTCTCTCTCTTTGTCTGTCTCTGTCTGTCTCTCCTCTTTGTCTGTCTCTCTCTCTCTCTTTGTCTGTCTCTCTGTCTCTCTCTTTGTCTGACTCTTTGTCTATCTGTCTCTCTCCTCTTTGTCTGTCTCTCTCCTCTTTGTCTGTCTCTGTCTGTCTCTCTCCTCTTTGCCTGTCTGTCTGTCTGTTTGCCTCCTCTTTGTATGTCTGTTTGCCTGCTCTTGTCTGATGGGTACAATGTGTGAAGCCCATTTATGGTTTCCCCCTCCGCGATGTTGCTGGAATATTGCTAAAAGCGGCGTAAAACCATACTCACCCAGTCCTCTTTGTCTATCTGTCTGTCCATCTGTCTGTGCCTGTGCATGTGTGGGCTACATAATACATAATTCCTGTCTGTTTGATTCAAACATTTAGTGAAATACTCTCAAAATATTTGAACACAGGTCATAGCTGATGCAATATTTTTTCAAATAACTCCAAATCCAAATAACTCCAGTACAAATATAATAAGCAATGTAAGTTTTTGGAAAGTAAACTGCAATTGGCAAAACAATTGGCTAGATAGAATGTAATTGTTTTATTGAGTAATTATTTTCATGAAAATTTAGAAAGTATCTTCAATTTTTCAAAGTGTATGTCAACCCTGTGTGTGGTTATGTCGATGATTGTATGAAGCTTGGGTGAAATGGATTACATAGATTAAGTCTGTTGACAAAATGTTCATTTTGATCATAACACTTAGTCATGATAATGATGATAATTAAAATTCTTCTTTCAGACTGGTGGAGAAAAGGAGGGAGTCTATTGAGCCCTCTAATTATGACAGAGCTTATCACTGGAATCAGGTAGGCACTACTTTGTTTGGAATCAGGTAGGCATGGCTATCACTAGAAGCAGGTAGGCATTACTTTGTCTGGAATCAGGTAGGCATTGCTAGCACTGGAATCAGGTAGGCATTGCTAGCACTATAATCAGGTAGGCGTTACTATCACTGGAATGGGGTAGACATTACTATCACTATAATCAGGTAGGCATTGCTATCACTGGAATCAGGTAGGCATTGCCAGCACTGGAATCAGGTAGGCATTGCTATCACTAGAAGCAGGTAGGCATTACTAGCACTGGAATCAGGTAGACATTACTAGCACTATAATCATGTAGGCATTACTGTCACTATAATGGGGTAGACATTACTATCACTGGAATCAGGTAGACATAACTAGCACTGGAATCAGGTAGGCATTACTGTCACTATAATCAGGTAGACATTACTAGCACTATAATCATGTAGGCATTACTGTCACTATAATGGGGTAGACATTACTATCACTGGAATCAGGTAGACATAACTAGCACTGGATTCAGGTAGACATTGCTAGCACTGGAATCAGGTAGGCATTACTGTCACTATAATCAGGTAGACATTACTAGCACTGGAATCAGGTAGACATTACTATCACTATCATCAGGTACTATCACTGGAATCAGGTAGGCATTGCTATCACTAGAATCAGGTAGGCATTACTATCACTGGAATCAGGTAGGCATTACTATCACTGGAATCAGGTAGACATTACTATCACTGGAATCAGGTAGGCATTACTATCACTGGAATCAGGTAGGCATTACTATCACTGGAATCAGGTAGGCATTACTATCACTGGAATCAGGTAGGCATTACTATCACTGGAATCAGGTAGGCATTACTATCACTGGAATCAGGTAGGCATTACTATCACTGGAATCAGGTAGGCATTACTATCACTGGAATCAGGTAGGCATTACTATCACTGGAATCAGGTAGACATTACTATCACTGGAATCAGGTAGACATTACTATCACTGGAATCAGGTAGGCATTACTATCACTGGAATCAGGTAGGCATTACTATCACTGGAATCAGGTAGGCATTACTATCACTATAATCAGGTAGGCATTACATTACTATCACTGGAATCAGGTAGACATTACTATCACTGGAATCAGGTAGGCATTGCTATCACTAGAGAGAATCAGGTAGGCATTACTATCACTGGAATCAGGTAGGCATTACTATCACTGGAATCAGGTAGGCATTACTATCACTGGAATCAGGTAGGCATTACTATCACTGGAATCAGGTAGGCATTACTATCACTGGAATCAGGTAGGCATTACTATCACTGGAATCAGGTAGGCATTACTATCACTGGAATCAGGTAGGCATTACTATCACTAGAATCAGGTAGGCATTACTATCACTATAATCAGGTAGGCATTACTATCACTATAATCAGGTAGGCATTACTATCACTATAATCAGGTAGGCATTACTATCACTGGAATCAGGTAGGCATTACTATCACTATAATCAGGTAGGCATTACTATCACTGGAATCAGGTAGGCATTGCTATCACTGGAATCAGGTAGACATTACTATCACTATAATCAGGTAGGCATTACTATCACTGGAATCAGGTAGACATTACTATCACTGGAATCAGGTAGGCATTACTATCACTGGAATCAGGTAGGCATTACTATCACTGGAATCAGGTAGGCATTACTATCACTGGAATCAGGTAGGCATTACTATCACTTGAATCAGGTAGGCATTACTATCACTGGAATCAGGTAGGCATTACTATCACTTGAATCAGGTAGGCATTACTATCACTGGAATCAGGTAGGCATTACTATCACTATAATCAGGTAGGCATTACTATCACTGGAATCAGGTAGGCATTACTATCACTGGAATCAGGTAGGCATTACTATCACTGGAATCAGGTAGGCATTACTATCACTGGAATCAGGTAGGCATTACTATCACTGGAATCAGGTAGGCATTACTATCACTGGAATCAGGTAGGCATTACTATCACTATAATCAGGTAGGCATTACTATCACTGGAATCAGGTAGGCATTACTATCACTGGAATCAGGTAGGCATTGCTATCACTGGAATCAGGTAGGCATTACTATCACTGAAATCAGGTAGGCATTACTATCACTGGAATCAGGTAGGCATTACTATCACTGGATAGCTGTAACATGTGTTATATTAGGGATTACTCTTTCTTAGTAAAGTACAGATTCTAGTATGTACTTGGGTTGAGTCCCATCCGGGTTTCAAACCTGCACCCTCAGAGTCAGGCACCTAATAATCGCCAGCACACAAAGTCAGCCACCTAACCCGCTCAGCCACCGAGACTTCCACATTGCGATATGACAGAAATGCTCATCAAAGTGCTGTCAGTCCTCACTAACTCTCTCGGTGGTGGGGTAGCCTAGTGGTTAAAGCCTTACCTTGTCACCCGAAGACCCTGGTTCGATTCCCCACATGGGTACAATGCATGAAACCCAATTTCTGGTGTCCCCCGCCCTGATATTGCTGGAGTATTGCTAAAGCTGTGTAAAATCATACTCACTCACTCACTCTCTTACTCTGCTTTCTCATTCCCTTGTTTATTGTTCTCCTCAGTATGTAGGGTTAAATGTGTATCTTTATTATTAAGTCATGATGAACTCTCTTCGTTTCAGGTTGACCCGAAATACCTGATGGAGCCGCCAGAATGTCACAATCCAGTCAGTGATGATCCACCTCTGCTCAACCCTCATTATGCCATTCGACTGGCGAGACCTGACGAGACGGAGAGGAGCTCCCTGCTGGATGAAGTCCGTCACAGTGACTACTTAAAACACCATCTGCAGGAACTGAAGTCACTTTCCATCAGGTAGCCTAATAGTTAAAAATATTTCCTCGAAGACTCAGGTTCGATTCCCCACAGGGATACAATGTGTGAAGTCCATTTCTAGTGTCCCTCGCCTTTGATATTGCTGGAATATTGATAAAAGCGGAATACAACTAAAACTCACTCACTCCATCAGGTGAGCAGGGCAAGCTGTCATGTACTCATGGCCCCCCGAGGAAGAGAAACATGGCGATCTGCATAGGATCTGTGATAAGAGGAAATAGGCGTGGAGTAGAGTAGTAGTTCAAGTGTTCTCTTGTCACTGCTGAAAACCCGTGTTTGCTTGTCAGTGTGGATACAATGTGTGGCTCGCACTTATGGCGTCGTGTTATTGCTGGAATAATGCCAAATTGGGTGTGAAATCAATCTTCACTCACCCACCCAAACTCACTCACTCTTAAAATATAGTTAACGACTACACGATTCTTTCATAGTATGACTGACCGCCTCCGTGGTGTAGTGGTTAGAGCGTCCCCCCGGAGAGCGGAAGGTCGCGGGTTCGGTCCCCGACCGCGTCATACCAAAAGACGTTAAAATATGGTACTTGTTGGTCCCTGCCTGGCGCTCAGCATTAATGGGTACAACAAGGACTGGTCGGCTTGGAGTCAGTATAATGTGTCTGAGTGGGGTATTCATGCTTCACTGCGGCATGGTATCTCAGTGGGCTAGCACTATAAAACCACCTTCAGTCTGGGCTAGTACAAGCAGCCACACATACACAGACACACGCATGCACATCATCATATGAGCGAAATATTCTCAAGCACGATGTTAAACCCTATTTCACCTCACCTCATAGTATGCCAGTTGATAGTAACAACATCTTAATTTGGGTGGGTGTAGCCTAGTGGTTAAAGCGTTTGCTTGTCACACCGAAGACTGATTGACTGACTCAGTTTGGTTTTACGCCTCTTGACAGCAGAAATGGGCGTCACACATTGTACCCATGTGGGGATTCAAACCCGAGTCTTCGGCGTGACAAGCCAACGCTTTAATTACTAGGCTACCCCACTGCCCCTGTCACGTCTAAGACCCGGGTTCGATTCCCCACATGGATACAATGTGTGAAGCCCATTTCTGGTGTCCCTCGCCACGATATTGCTGGAATATTGCTAAAAGCGGTGTAAAACTAAACTCACTCCCTTAAGTTTTGGTTAGTATTTTGAGACACCCAGTATTATGTATTACAAAGCATTTATCTCTGTATTTCTGTCTGCAGGCATCGGAGCGATACTGTGACCTGTGAGCTGTGTGACGTGCTGTGTACCACTCCAAGAACACTGTCTGCCCACCTACAGTCAGACTCCCATCTTGCCAAAGAGAGCAAACTGTATGGCATATATCACTGATGGGCCATCGTACTTGTATACATCACAGACAGCCCGCCACTCTATGGCTTATGTAACTGATCGGCCATCGAACTTATATACCTCACAGACAGCTCGCCACTGTATGGCTTATATCATTGACTTTCCAATACTGTATGTGGCCTATATCATTGACTAGTCATCGAAGGTGAATACTAAACAGAAAGAGTGCCACTGTATGGCATATATCATTGACTGGTCATCACCAGTATAGCATACGGACAGGGCACCACTTTGTGGCTACTGTCATGGAGTAGCCATTCTACCACCAAGGCTTGGTGCCACTAGTACTCCACAGACCGAGTGCCACTTCATGGCTTCAGGTCAAACAGGACATCATCTGTGATAGCTGTGCCAAATATCCCATTCTCAGGAAGATTCTGATGTTGGAGATGACTGCAGACTGCTTCAACTATACCATGTGCAAGACCCACTTTGTGCTTGACAGAACGGTTGGAGGTTATTGTTTTTATCAGTTTTCACAAGAAGTGAAAGTGGCAGTGTGTCGTTATTTGTTTAACTGAACTGCAACTTGTTTTGTATTTCTTCCAGGTCCCTTATTTCACAGAATAGTTGTAAGTGACCATTGAGTGAAGTCAGATAAGTTGCCCCACAGACGACTGGGGAATATACACTATATTTCCCTTTTGTTTAATTGATTGTGCTATGGTCATATTCTGTTTGTGTACTTTTTCCAAAGATTATGGTAAAAGTACAAAAAATTGTAACTGGTATGTTTTAATTCATAGCATTTTTTCCCAGGAAACAATTGTGTGTGAAAAAATAGTTGACAGAATAATTCGTTTATTAATACAAATGTATTCCACCAATGAAAGAATACACCCTGGGCAGCTAGTGCGAGTAAGCTTCCTGGTATTGGGGGCTTATCCTAGCTTAGCTTGATGTGGTTTGCCGATGTGAACTTTGAGCAGAAACACTCAGTGTAATCTCTTCCTCTTCTACCATGTGTTCGGGGTCAGCTTCTTGATCCAGTGTTGCAGGCAGACAGGTCATGACCTGACATACCACACAGTGTATGTATGCACTACATGCCCCCTGGCACCTACACATACTCTACATGTCCCTGAGGGCAACTTTATACACTGTGATTAGCCCCTCAATGACCCTGGATGTATCCCCTTCCCCCACTCCACTTCTGTACAAGCCGGGGCGGTGGGGTAGCCTAATGGTTATAGCGTTGGCTTGTCACGCCGAAGGAATGCTGGAATATTGCTAAAAGCGGCGTAAAACCACAACTCAGTCAGTCAGTCAGTCAGTCAAATCAGGACCCGTAACATAAATGTGAGAGGAAAATACGACGCGATGTCGATCTCACACATTTTCCTCTTTGGCAAAACCAAGACCATGGTGCTGACAGACCTAGAAACATAACCAGGGCGAACAGGGATTCGAACCCACAACCATGGGTTTCTGGCAGACACAAGGGATGCAACTCTGCACAGCGGCGCATCAGACGACGGTACTTCCCGTTCCCTCTATTACATCAACAAGACTTTGGTTCCAGGGCCCCGTTTCACAAAACTATCGAAGCGACTGTTGTACATCTTATATTGTAACATAGTGAATGAGTGAGTTTAGTTTTACGCCACACTCAGCAATATTCCATCTGTATGGCGATGGTGTGTAAACAATCGAGTCTTGACCATACAATCCAGTGATCAACAGCATGAGCATCGATCTGCGCAATTGGGAACCGATGACATGTGTCAACCAAGTCATTGAGTCTGACCACCCGATCCCCTTAGTCGCCTCTTACGACAAGTATGGGTTATTGAAGATCAATTCTAACCCGGATCTTCAATGGTATTCACTTATGATGAAGGTTAGAGGATGGATATAGATACAAGACCCACATGGATGGGAACGATGTCCGCCCGTAAACCCTCGAACTAATCCTAATAAATAGAACACATTTCAAGGTTGAGGGAGAGACGGAACTCTTACCGTTTGAATGTGTAACATGACATGTATTGCCTACATGAGAGACATGTGTTAATTGACGTATGTTTATCATTCAGGGCGTTTTGTTATTGTTCATTTATCTGGACTGAGAGCCCACTGGGGATCTCAATATCCCATGCTACCAGTTACGAAACAAGTCCCTGTCAATCCTACACAAGAATTCGTCATTGATTTACCACCGACGTCTTCCTGTTACATTATCATATCTAGTGATATTTTATCGTAAATTTCACAGCATTTTTGTCCAAGTTCATTATCACCTGTCAGTTCTGAAAGGATACGAAGCTCATTTTAACTGGGTTTTATACTTGAACAATCTTATTCATTATATATTTTATTTTTTGCATCCGTAGGTTTGGGTAGGGCTTAACATATCAAGGAATTCGTTTATCCGGACAATATATGAGAAAACGCAAGTGTCCGGATAGGCGAGGTTCTATAGCAGATTCCCAACCCTCCATGCCGTGCACGCACGTGCCAAATCATTAAGATTGTCCACCTGACCCAACTTAGCCATGGCTTATGACAAGCTGGAGGTCCTTGTGGGGGTTCTGCTCTATGGCACCACTGAAGAGAACTACTTTTAAATACATCCGTGTTAGGCTTTCATTATAAGCAGCTATCAGGGCAGTTTTATTCGCACGGGTGGCAGGTCTCCGCTGTACTGGAGTTCGTGATTGTTGCTTTCAATATTGATACTTTCATCAAAATAACTGAATCCAACATTCGAGTGTTCTTTTGATTAACTCGGTGTGTCGTCACTGAAGTTTTCCATCACCTGACCGCTGAGCAAAGTAATTCGTGCTGTGGGTTACCTGGACGTGGTTTGCCGTCACATTCGGCTGTTGGTAGCCCCTTCGTTTCTTTGAGGTACAGGAATTATTTACCAAAAATTTAAGCCAATTGTGTGAATCAGTGCTCATGTTGGTCACTGGATTGTCTGGTCCAGACTGGATTATCAACAGACCGCCGCCATACAACTGGAATATTGCTGAGTGCGGCGTTAAACAACAAATAAACAAACATACAAAACCTTTCAGGTTTGTTGTTTTACTCCGCACTCATCAATATTCCAGCTATATGGTGGCTGTCTGTAAATAATCGAGTCTGGACCAGATAATCCAGTGATCAACAGCATGAGCATCGATCTACGCAATTGGGATACGATGACGTGTCAACTAAGTCAGCGATCCTGACAATCCAGTTAGTCGCCTCTTACGACAAGCATGGGTTACTGAAGACCACTTCTAACTCGGATGTTCACGGTATAACCTTTCAGAAAAATACGACTCATATTTGTCATGATCAGCGCACACATATTTTGTAGATGAATTGATGTAGATGAGCCACATGTGCACTGAAGTGAGACTGATAGAGACACATACTCCCTTGGGGCTGTTATACGGTCCATTTGGCTTGTGTCCCACGTGCATACTGAACCAACCCTACATTCCTTGGATTTCAGACATACCATGCAAGGTGTCAGAAATTGCAAACAGGTAGCTGTCAACCTGTATATATTTGCTAGATCTTGACATCGAAAAATCAAAACTCGTACCAGGAGCACCATGCCAACTTCCGGTCTAACTTCTACCAGTTCTCCTCTTCAACAAAATAGTTCAACAAATCGACAAAAGAATTATTTATTTTACTGAACTTAGCAATTTTATTGCACTTTAAACAAAATGCACTTCAACAGAGCAACAATGATGATTCAAATTTTCAAATTACCATAAGGCACAGACATGCGTTTAGTCTTAACATAAACCTTGTAAATGGAAAAAGGTATAATAACATAGAGCACTAAAGAATAGTGATGGTTTTGCCTAAACCATAGCTTGCAACAAGGGAACAACTTTTACAGATGAAGGACCAAGTAATAGGGGCATGAGCAGAGGCATGGCGAGGGCAGTAAGGTGGACTCATTAAGTGGGGTAAGAAGACAGGCTGATGAGAGGCTTGAGAGGGCAGGAGGAGAGGGAGGAGAGGGGGGAGGGGCATTTAGGTGAACAGCAGTGCTTGGGTGTGGCATGTAGAAATGGTGCACACAGGTTGCATCAGTGAAGAGGAGATTACAGAGGACGTGGGTGAGCGAGTTAAGCTCAACACTGCTCAGAACAGATGGGTTGGTTGGGTTGGGGGTGTGGCATGTAGAAATGGCGTATATTGCATTCTTAAGTGCAGGCTTGTAGAGAAGTGCGGGCTTTTAGAGAAGTGCGGGCTTGTAGAGAAGTGCATGTTGAGAGTGAATTTGGCTTAACACTGCCGGGTTCGATTCCCCACATGGGCACAATGTGTGAAGCCCATTTGTGGTGTCCCCCGCCGTGATATTGCTTGAATATTGCTAAAAACGGCGTAAAACTATACTCACTCACTCGCTCCCCCAACCTTGAAATGTGTTTTATTTATTAGGATTGTTCCAGACCCCATCCATGTGGGTCTTGTATCTATATTCATCCTCTAACCTTCATAATAAGTGAATACCATTGGAGATCCGTGTTAAAATTGATCTTATATAACCCATACTCGTAAGAGGCGACTAAGGGGATCGGGTGGTCAGACTCAATGACTTGGTTGACACATGTCATCGGTTCCCAATTACGTAGACTGATGCTCATTCTGTTGAACACTTGGTTGTCTGGTCCAGACTCGATTGTTTACACACCATCGCCATACAGATGGAATATTGCTGGGTGGGGCGTAAAACTAAACTCACTCATTCACTATGTTACAATATAGGATGTACGACAGTCGCTACGATAGCTTTGTGAAACGGGGCCCTGGAACCTAAGTCTTGTTGATGTAATAGAGGGAACGGGAAGTACCGTCGTTTGATGCGCCGCTGTGCAGAGTTGCGTCCCTTGTGTCTGCCAGAAACCCATGGTTGTGGGTTCGAATCCCCTGTTCGCCCTGGTTATGTTTCTAGGTCTGTCAGCACCATGGTCTTGGTTTTCGCCAAAGAGGAAAATGTGTGAGACCGGCATCGCGTCGTATTTTCCTCTCACAGTAATGTTACGGGTCCTGATTTGACTTGAGTGAGTGAGTTTAGTTTTTACGCCGCTTTTAGCAATATTTCAGCAATATCACGACGGGGGACACCAGGAATGAGCATCACACATTGTACCCACATGGGCAATCGAACCCGGGTCTTGGGCGTGGCGAGCGAACGCTTTAACCACTAGGCTACCCCACCGCCCCTGATTTGACTTGAAAATACCACTAAAATGGACAGACAGACAACAAAAGCTAGATTAATGGCTGGACAAGCCCTAAAGGACAGGGCAGTAGTGAAGAGACCAAACTGGCAGACCTATGGACACGTCCACATGGAACAGGATGGGGCTGAACATCACAGGACACAAAGACGAGACAACACAAATCATGTAACTGTTTGTAAAAATGAGTGCGTGAGTTATTTTTACGACGCTTGTAGCAATATTCTAGTAATATAACGACCTGGGAAACCAAACATGAACTTCACACAATGTGCCCATGTCGGGAATCGAACCCGGGTCTTCGGCGTGACGAGCGAACGCTTTATTTATTTACCCACTAGGCTGTCCCATCGCTCCGGTAGATTGAAAAACAGATAGACATGGCAAGACCGACGGACGGACAGGGCAAAATGATTTCTGTCCTTTTCGACCAAACTGTGTTGCAGTGTGAGACCATTTGTTGCCATCATCATCCCCCCAGTGTCTCCTCTGCTGGAGGGGCGGTGGGGTAGCCTAGTGGTTAAAGCGTTGGCTCGTCACGCCGAAGACCCGGGTTCGAATCCCCACATGGGTACAATTTGTGAAGCCCATTTCTGGTGTCCCCCGCCGTGATGTTGCTGGAATATTGCTTAAAGCGGCGTAAAACTAAATTCAGTCAGTCAGTCAGTCCTCTGCTGGAATGTAGCTGGAATATTGCTGAGTGTGGCGTTAAACAACAAACAACCTTGAGAGTCTCCGACACCAATGTTGGTGTGTCTATATTTTTGTCAGCAATCGTATAGCTTCTTGTTCATTGCATTAAACCTGATAACCGTGAAAAGAATCTACACCGAAATTCGATGTATGCAATAAGCAGGAAGTGTTTATCAATGAGGTCGTATGCTTCATTCTTGTATTCGGACTGTTTGTGTTCCACAGAACGACAGAGATCCATCTGCATGCATCTCAAATGTCGTTCTTGACATCATCTATTTTCCAGTTCAGAGGCGTTGCAAGTATTTGTCACGTTTCGTGTTTTTAAATAAGCAATATCATTCTAAGACCTCCCAAATTCTTAACTTTCAAGCTACTCCCTTGCAATACCTGTTGTACTGCACGCTGTTAGAGTGTGATTACTCCGTGTCACGTGTGCAGTTTGCTTCAGTGAGGATGGACGTGGATATTGCCACACTCCGGCACAGCGATGACTTAACATAACATCACTGCCACAGGCTAATTTGCATATCACGTGACCGGACTTTTCTCTTGTTTGTAATCAAACGCGCATATTCATAATAAGAAGAGACTGGACTCACGAAAGCTTTTCGGCGCTCTCTTCATAATGTTTTACATTGTTATATATATTTTTCCACAACTGCGACAGTTAGGTCTATGACAGTACATATTTAGATATCAAAGTGGCTGCATCGTTTGCTCTCCGTCGGCTTCGATGACAGCACGTGGAGACGTACAACCTATGTAAACAAAGGATCGCTACGCAAATCGAAATAGTGTTACATGTTTTTGGATATTTTCTCAGTGAAACTAATTCATTCTATCAAAGATGGTTAGTTAGATGTGTAGACTCGTCAAAAATAAAAGAGTAAAAGAAATCTGTACATTATATTGAATGGACAGTGCAAGATGTGACGAATCGTCACATTTTTTTGGCCCGTGGCAGAGGTACTATGCTGGCTTGCCGCATGGAACTCTGGGTAGGAGAGTGGGATATTGCCAATGGTTACGCGCCGGTGTGACTCCACCCCCAATCTTCTTAGAACAAACACAACAACAAACAAACAAACAATATAGACAAACAAACCACATAATAACAAGCAATAAAATAGAATAAAAAATATCTGAAGGTATTTCAGCGATACATTGTTTTGACTATTTCGTCTTTCTGGAATGTTTTGGCGGTAATCGAGATTGATTGTTCTCTGGCGCTGTGAGGTTGTAATCACAGGTGCCCTACATCCTTTCGTCGACCAGAGCAATGTATTTATTTGTAGGAGTTTCTCAAAGTTTACTCTGTTGTCTACTGTCAGATATTTCCATGTAACTCCCAATACTGACATATACTACCGAAGCGTAGTTATGCAACGGTCTACACCGGTTTATCATCTCCATATGAGATACTTTGATCTTCATACAATATACTTTCATCTTCATACAACATACTTTCATCTACATACAATATACTTACATCTGCATACAAGATATTTACATTTACATACAATATACTTTCATCTACATACAAGATATTTTCATCTACATACAATATACTTTCATCTACATACAAGATATTTTCATCTACATACACGATACTTTCATCTTCATACAAGCTATTTTCATCTACATACAGTATACAAGATACTTTCATCTACACACAAGATACATTCATCTACATACAAGATATTTTCATCTACATACAGTATACTTTCATCTACACACAAGATATTTTCATCAACATACAAGATATTTTCATCTGCATACAAGATACTTTCATCTACATACAAGATATTTTCATCTACATACACGATACTTTCATCTTCATACAAGATATTTTCATCTACATACAGTATACAAGATACTTTCATCTACACACAAGATACTTTCATCTACATACAAGATATTTTCATCAACATACAAGATATTTTCATCTGCATACAAGATACTTTCATCAACATACAAGATATTTTCATCTACATACACGATACTTTCATCTTCATACAAGATACTTTCATCTACATACAAGATACTTTCATCTACATACAAGATACTTTCATCTACATACAAGATATTTTCATCTACATACAAGATACTTTCATCTACATACAAGATACTTTCATCTTCATACAAGATACTTTCATCTTCATACAATATATTTTCATCTACATACAAGATACTTTCATCTACACACAAGATACTTTCATCTACATACAAGATACTTTCATCTACATACAAGATACTTTCATCTACATACAAGATACTTTCAGTCTGGATATTTGATATCATTATCGTCGTATCAGTACAGAGATCATAGTATTGTCTTGTGAAGTAGCAATGTCAGTTTGATCGTGTGAATCTGCGATTCCAGTTTGATAATAGTTTATACAAACATATACATCATATCTTGAAATGTATGGCATCATGTTGGCTGTTTTTTCATATGGCCTTGTCTGGATTTTAACCATTGTGATCATTTATAATTATCGTTCATTCACCAGCACTCACCCGTTTTACAAAACTGGGACACATTTAAACGGAGAGTTTTTACAGTACCGCAATCAAGACATATCACGGATATAAGTTAAACAAATCGGTCATTATTAATCAAGTCAGAATTATTATAAAACAGACCCGGAACTGTTGTCCATTACTCGAGAAAATATGGTTACTAAAGCGATAACAGCTGATACCTTCTAAGTAGATTACGATCTCACATACCTACATGTAAGAATAATTTACGTAGATGAAAGTTTCTTCTGCGTAGATGAAAGCTTCATCTACATCCATATAACTATTATCTACTAGATTGATAGTTTTTGCACTATGGCTTCAACACGCTCACATACTATTCAGAACAACGGATAGTGATGAACGGATGAACGGATAGACAGACCACGTGCATACTGCTACCAGCGAGTTCCTTTATCCAATACTTTGCAGAAATTCTGCAAGTACAAAATCAAATATTTCCTTATGATAAACTGACCCGTGAAGGTCCGGGTTAGAATTGGTCTTCAGTAACCCATGCTTGTCGTATGAGGCGACTAACGGGATCGGATGATCAGACTCGCTGACTTGGTTGACACATGCCATCGGTTCCCAATTGCATAGATAGATGCTCATACTGTTGGTCACTGGATTGTCTGGTCCAGACTCGATTATTTGCAGACTGCCGCCATATAGCTGGAATATTGCTGAGTGCCGCCTTAAACAACAAATCAACCAACCTTATAATAAACTAACATTCTATCCACTCATGCATATGTTCAGCTATTAATGTTTTTTGTCCACGAATCTACTTTTGTTGAGTTTCAAGGACGACTTAGCAGAAATGTGCGCCTACACCTGTGGCACTTTCTCTTTCATCAACTATATACGTGCCGTAATGTAATAAACACATAGGGTATCGCGTGCCCCTTTGTTTGCGAGGTAGGTGTACACACAATAAACATTCTCGACTGTTTGTTCCAAGCCTTGACTGCAGGGATTACTGCTACTAGATATTGGCGGTATGTCCAGACATTCGTTTAATTTGTTTTGGCACTCTTGAATCTTTCCGGCGAATCTGCAAAACATGCTCACGTAGATCGGATTAAAAAAATGCCTGCCTGCTCATAACCTCGGAACTGAAATTGGTCATTCTTTGAAGCGTGACTCAGAGTGACTGAGAAAAGCCACGAAATAAATATTAATTTCAACACTGGCATCCGTTTACCAAATACACATTTCACTGTATACAACGTACTGCATGGTGGCATCAGGATGATCACTTCTCAGGGGTCGGCATCAGGTTTATCAAGAGGGGTTTGCACCATCCATAGTGTGTCCATCAGAAATATCACCATTAGCCTCTAATCAGTTAACCTTGAAAACCATTTCAAAAGTCTCACGGTGACAGAATGTACTGGACAATCAACTGGGCTTTTGGTTGTTTGCTCGAGGTTCTACTTTCATAGTTTGCGCAACACGTCTTGAGATATAACGCTCGCGAATGACTCACAGCATGATTACGGAGCATTTTTGGTTTCTTAACAAAACACTTTATCATCTCAAGAGGTCAGCAATATTATCATGGTTTTAAGAGTGCTTTTCGTTTCTCAGAATGGAAAAACTACAGAAAGTAATAAACACTAATCTCATCGAATACATCGACCACAAATGATTTCAAAATCAAACTGCCTTTAAGCTTCTGATTAATATACGAGGTGACATTATCGCAGGAAGGGAGTGGAGTAACGCTTGAGGAGCAAGGTGCGCGTGACGCCACAACCACCTGTTGACCACGGGGAGAGATATCGACCCGTCACCCACAGGTCGGCCGAGGTTACCAGTACGCTACGTTACAACTACTGCTTCATGCACGACTCGCGTATAGAGATTTAATAAAATGCATAGAAGCTCCAGTGGTTTTTTAACGCCGCACTTAGCGATATTCTAGCTGTATGGCGGTCTGTAAATAATCCAATCTGGACTAGACAATCCAGTGATTGACATCATGAACATCGATCTATGCAATTGGAACATGCATCGACCAAGTCAGCGAACCTGACCACCTTTGTACCTGTACAAAGCGATCTTAGACCTAAGGTGAAGGTATCTCCTACACCATAACATAGACTTAAGCTAGTCTTAGATTGTTTCGTAAAACTGCACTCTGATCCCGTTAGCCGCCTGCTACGACAGACCAATTGAAACCGGGTTCTTCACGGGTCGCCGCGAATACATGTAGCTGGAAAATTGCTGGTGAGGTGTAAAACAAATTCATTCATTTAAAACAACATTCATTCATTCATTCGCAGAGGCAGTAACACTTTTAGAGTATATTTTCAAATTCTCAAAGTAGATTTTTTCGATACGGTTGCAGTAGCAAAAAGTAACCGTACTTGCATGAGTTCACTCTCGTCATATTCAAAGTCTTTGGGGCTCGTAACGTATCGTAACTTTGTCCGAAACATGATTCCAAACCAAAATAGGAAATCTTTGACGCAAAACAAGCACACAGTAAACTGTAGATGAGTTTTGTTTTCATTTTGGACAAATTATCTTTACCATCATGTTTAAAAAGAAATGTTCATGGATCATGGATCCGTTGAGTTTGGGGAATCCACTTGGCATAAATTCCAGATCCAGGGCCTAGACTTTCAAAGCTTTCTTAGCGCTAAGATAGTCGTTAGTTAATGTTAATGTATGGCACTTACGACTATCTTAGCGCTACGAGAGCTTCGAAAACCTAGGCCCAGATCCATAGAGCGTTCGTAACGTTACGACCTGTCGTAACTCTATAGTTTATCACAGGCTTACGAATGTCGTAGTGCTACGAAGGCTGTGTGGATCGGGACCCAGTAGTCTGAAATACTTTCTGTGAATTATGTCTCAGCGTCAGTCGTCTTATTGTCCCAGCCAAGTAACACGTAGATGGTGATTCTTTTAAAATCTGTTTATTTGCCTCAAGCGTGAAAAATGTTTATTCCTGTCGGCCGTGAAAACGGATTTGAATGTCCAAATATAATAATAGATTAAATAAAACATGCTACATATGTTATATATGACTCAGATGGTGTAACGCAACTACGTAGATGAAAAATGTTGACTCCTGTCGGCTGTAATACCAAGCTAACAGGTGACAGTTGAAGATACATTTCGAATTGCTATCACTTCACGCGAAGAATCTTGCAAATTGACTGTAATCCAAATTCTGGTAGCACGTACAACTCCTTATATCATCTATATCTAGTCTGTGAGGTGAAGCCTTAAGATTGAGTTGGTTGGTTGTTGTTTAACGCCGCACTCAGCAATATTCCAGCTATATGGAAGCGGTCGGTAAATAATCGAGTCTGGACCAGACAATCCAGTGATCAACATCATGAGCATCGACATACGACATCGGGATGCGATGACATGTGACAACCAAGTCAGCGAGCCTGACCACCCGATCCCGTTAGTCGCCGCTTACGACAAGCATGGTTGCTAAAATCAATTCTAACCCGGATCTTCATGGGTCCTTAAGATTCAATGAGTGAGTGAACATGGTTTAACGCCGCTTTTAGCAATATACCAGCAATATCATGGCGGGGTACACCAGAAATGGGCTGTACACCTTGTACCCACGTGGGGAATCGAACCCGTGTCTTCGGCGTGATGAGCGAACGCTTTAACCACTAGGCTACCCCACCGCTGCCAGCGACAATTTTATAGAAATCCCTTTCCTGTATTGAGTGTTATCGTCAGTTTTTGCAATATGGATTTGGTGGTTTGTAGCAGCTCTAGATCTCCCTAAGGTTTAAATGAAGTAGTTTGTTTTAATAAAAATATTTGTTTTAAGAAATTAAATTTGCATTATGAGCTGCCTAGTCTACGATCGGCAATACCTTCCTATAATTTCAACTTCCAATAAGTTGAACTGAATTACTACAGCAAATATATTTGAAAGAAAGCGTGATATGATTACGGATGATAAACATCGGAGCACACGTCAGCGAGCCAATACAGTATAAATCTCTCCTGAGAGCTGAGAACATTCCGAGGAATCAGCTGGGTTTGAGAATGGTTTCCTAGGATTCTGACGGCAGCTCAGAAACGCTCCGGGTTCGTGTCGTGGGAATTTGCGTGATTTTGAACCTGGTGATTACTTACAAACCATCGTAGCCGGATCATCCAAAACTTTAGTAAAGAAAGAACACAAATCATGTAACAGTTTGTTAAACTGAGTGAGTGAGTTTAGTTTGAGCTTTTAGCAATATTCCAGCAATATCACGGCGGGGGAGCGCAGAAATAGGCTTCGCACATTGTACCCGTGTGGGGAATCGAACCCGGGTCTTCAGCGTGACGAGCGAACGCTGAGAGATATGTGACATTCGTTCATGGTTATCCCTTGTTCAGGTATATTTACTGAGATAACCACAAACCGACCACTTTCTCCATCACTCTGATATAGGAAACATTGAATGAAATTCTTTTCACGATGAGTAATATTCGCAACTGCGTCAAACCATACACAGGCATATCCTTTAAGTTGTTTAACAGTAATTATAATCCACGTGTCTCCCTGACGTCATGTTTTTATCAGCTCCACACGTATCACTCTCTGTGCACTATATTGTTCCAAAGATATATCTCTGATGTAAGAAAAAAACATTTCTTTAGTTTAAAACGTTATTGTTAAGGGCGTTTAAACAAACAGGCGGTCACCTAGACAAGAACATCTGTTGAGATAGGTATACAGCATCAGGGCTGTGTTATTTTACTGTTTGGACCATACTGAGGATATGTAACGTGCCTTGCCAGGTAAATGTGTTGTATCTTACCGGAGAACTGTGTTCAGTGCGTGACACTTGTGTCTACCGCGGTCTGATCCAGTGCTAAACCCCACTTCGTGTATTGTGAAACGTTGTGTAAGCCGATTTGTCCCCAACTTACAAAAAACAAATATTGGCATTTCCGCCCTGAAAACCCACTGCGTTTAGTTGGAGACGTGTTTCCATTGTCCAGCTGTTGATTGGTCAACGCACTGGACTCTGATTGGTCAATGCATCGGATGACAACATTTGTAAAAAGCAGCTAGTTCAATATTCCATCACTCCAACTAAACAGTAACATTACAAATTGAGAGAAAGCAAAGAAGCTGTTTCGTTTCTATCAAGATGATATAACAGCCATTAAAGACATTCTAACTTCTAAGTGCATAAACGTGGCACAATTCTTTCCATATCAGGAGAAATCTCTGTCAAGATCAGCGGAATGTACGAGTATATCACAATGAAACACTGATGCTGCAGGTGTTCACGAAATGTTAGGTATCTCCATCCACCCGACAAAACACATGCAAAACCAAGTCAATTTTTCGCAGTAAAACACGATAGCATTTGGTACAAGTCAAAACAGGGAATTGAAATATCTCCATGTTCAATACAACCCTATACAAAATCAGAAGAAATGTCTGCTGACAGTCAACTGTATGACTGTGTCACAATGAAACTCTAATGTTACATGCGTTCACGAAAAGGTAGCGTATCCCCACCATACCACCCGACAGAACACATGCAAAGCCAAGTCAATTTTTGGCAGTAGATCACGATAACTTACGGTACAAGTTAAAACAGGGAATTGAAATATCCCAATATGCAAACACACGCAAAGCCAAGTCAATGTTTCGCAGTAAACCACGATAGCATATGTTAAAGGTCAAAACAGGGTATTGAGATATCTCCATATTCTGAAGACAGTAATGATTTTCAGTGACTGACTCCAATCTAATGACGCATGTAGTACCGTAGCTGGCCAAAGTAACTATGTAACAATGAACGTTTTAATTAAGTCTCGGGATGGACACATCAATTACATCGTAGTAAAAACGCCATCTGCTTAACACTTGCCAGGTGGATTTTCATTGGCTAAGCAAGTCAAGTAGGAAGCAGGTGAGGAGGTTAGCAAGCGGCTGATGACGATGGATTTGGTATATAATGGAGATTTTCTCCTCCTCATCCTCATCCTCCGTGACAAGTCACATCATGGGACTTCTACTCTTAACTCTCCTAATACTACAAGTGTGGACTATGGAAGGTGACGCAAGGTCGGTACAGGTAAGACAAGCTTTTCTTACCTTAAACCTTCTAGATATTTATTCGTTTGCTTTTACAAAACATGAAATTTATGAAAATTTAATTAATAATTTTGCATCGTAAAATATTTATGAACTGATGGGGTGTTTTCTTTTTTCATTATTTCATTATAATCAGTGATAGATATATTTCAATCACACTCAATCTTGAATTACACACTTCCAGGCAAATTCATTATATCCATTATATACATTGTGCCATTTTTTAAAGAAAAATTGTGCTTCCGTTGTACATATTGCATTTGAGACCTTATCAGAATTGAGTTTGAGACATTACGTTTGCAGTGTTTCTACGACTGTTTTTGGGGTAATAACGTTTTTGGTCAAACCCCAATTTTCAGATTATACAATTTCTTGTCGGCAGACATCTTGGTGTCTTTGTAATTGGTCGTTTCATGCTTTGTTAAGTTTGCCTAACAACTGCCTATCTTCGCTTGCCTAACATTCGTCTATCCTTGTCTGCCTATCATCTATCATGTGTCTACCCTCGGGTGCCTAACATGTGTCTATCTTAGCTTGAATAACACATGTCTATCCTCGCTTGAATAACATGTATCTACCCTCGCTCTCCGATATGTGTCTATCCTCGTTTGTCCAACATGTGTCTGTCTGTGATCCTGTTGTTGGCTACTCATACTTTCATATGCCGACCGCCTCCGTGATGTAGTGGTTAGAGCGTCCGCCCGGAGAGCGGAAGGTCGCGGGTTCGATCCCCGACCGCGTCATACCAAAAAGACGTTAAAATATGGTACTTGTTGGTCTCTGCCAGGCGCTCGGCATTAATGGGTACAACAAGGACTGGTCGGTATAATGTGTCTGAGTGGGGTATTCATGCTTCACTGCGGCATGGTATCTCTGTGGACTAGCACTATAAAACCAGCTTCAGTCTGGGCTAGTACAAGCAGCCGCACATACACATACACATGCATGCACGTCGTCATATGAGCGAAATCTTCTCAAGCACGACGAAAAAAACCAATTTCACCTCACCTCACCTCACCTCACCTCACATGCCTGTAAACCTGTCTAGCAATCCTATATAATGATGTATTAATGTCTATGTTAATTGGTGGCACGAGTGGCCCAGTCTGAGGTGCCGTAAGTAGTCCGAATCCCGATAGCCTAGTGGTTAAAGCGCTCGCTCGTCACTCCGAAGACACGGGTTCGATTCCCCACCTGGGTACAATGTGTGAAGCCCACTTCCGGTGTCCCCCGCCGTGATATTGCTGGAATATTGCTAAAAGCGGCGTAAAACCAAAACTCAGTCAGTCAGTCCTTTGACGGCCAAGTATTCCTAGACACAATCTAACAGTTTGAATAGTTGAATAACCTACCATTCAAAGGTCACCTGTGGCCCCTGAATAAATGAACATATGCATGTTCTAACCATGTCTGCCCTAGTCTTCTCTTGTGCTTCTTGTGTGTAAAACTAAACTCACTCACTCACACAGACAGTAAACTGAAACTGAAAAATAAATGTTATCAGCAATAACCGCGCTAAACCCAAATCACCCGATGATCCAGTCCATGTTAACTGGGTTCGGGGCTTTTTTTCTGGTTATAATTTAATTAAAATGTATGGTAAAATGATCTCCTTCACAACACTGTCTTGTATGGAA